CTGAATGGACTACATTTATTTCCTTTTTATTGTGTCTCTTGTGGAGGCTGAAGACAAGGATCCCCTAATGACTATTATTTGATGAGAGACGTTAATGACTCGTTATCAGTTAAAAACCAATGAATATTATGAAATGTTCCTGGAATGGTTCAAGTATGTGTGCATGAGCGCTCTCCAACACCAGATGACATTTCTGATCACTGTGGATGCAGTAAGGGTTTTATACCCGTACTGACAGAGGGGTCCAGTTTACTGGGAATCAAACCTGACACAGGTCGATATTTGTAACAAGTTGTGTTAGGAGGTCATCCAATTTGGATTTGAGAGCCAAGTAGAGTGTTGTGGAACATTGTCTTGGTCTCTGAGTGTAGGTGAACTCTGTACAGTAAGATTTTAGTACTGTGGACCCTGCTTATTCATAATCCCTTTCAGGACAATTCCTGCTGAGAAGCTTACATGAGGACAAGGAGACATTACTCTAACCTTGATTCATTAATCTGGAAAATGGCTAATCCAGTTTCAGTGTAACACTATGATTATTTGTTTTATCTCATCAAGAGTTACTTACTGATTGCAATTGTGTTAATCCAGAGGGAAATCATCCAGAACAGCTGTTTACAAGATCACACTTACTGTTTCATAACAAAACCTGCAATGTGGGTTATAAGTCACTGGTCAAGGTCATCTTTGATGTCAATTTGAAACATGGTTGTGTCAGTCCTAATGCCACTGTTGTACTTGTACCTTCACAATACGGATACTTAGATTATTACATCAACTCAAGAAGTGTGAAGGTGTGGAAACAATGTTTTTGATTGAAATTGAATTTTTGTATTTTATGACTTTTGAAAGAAATACAGCTGATGAGCTGGCTTATGTTTGTGCAAGTACCTGGAAATACATGTAGTTTTTCTTATCATATTACAGTTATGAGACAAGAAGTGCCTGTATTCAATACAAGGATCTGATGAGTAGGCGATGAGTAGAGACACTACTGGTGTCATGTCCTCCATCGCGCACGTGACGGAACAGTGTGACTGATTAATGTCCGACAATCAGTGGGCTGTTCACTGATTAATGCCCTCGCTGGCCGGAATGTTTCTGCTGTAATACTTACTAGCCAACATCATCATGGCCGAGCAGATTTATATCGGCCCCAGGAAATGGACAGGCAATCAGGGGATTGGTCAGGGGGCCCATCTTGGGAGGATTTAGATCAGCAGTTTATTGAATTTTTAATTGATTTGTTAAGTGGAAGAAAGAACTTGAAATAGGTTGACTAGATCTATTTACCAATTAGAAAAATGATTTCAAATCTTTTCACACACTCTCCTCAACAGTTCAATGGTCTTACTTCGATGGTGATCTTCATGTGCTAACGGTACACTTGTCTGTAGGTTTTGTAAATGTATTATGACATGATATTTGTAGTCATTAATCATTAAGTAGTCAAAGGCTAAAAAAAATTCTATCAAGAGTTACATCCCTTAGGCATGCCAGGAACCTAGCATTGTGGGTTTCAAATCTAAGATTTACTTTGGTTATGTTTCCTGGTTGTCACATTGTTGTGTAGAGTTATTACTGAAATACTGTTTAACCAGACTTCCAACTTGGACAAGAAGGTATCCTCTCCATGTTCAAACTGTAACCATAGTGACATATAACAGAATTCGTTCACACTCAGTCACTGTCATTTCAATAATCTTGTATCATGGGTTTCATGGATGTGGTATATGTTTATGATGGCTGCTATTCTCTCTTCACACATAAATCTGACACACCCTTATATGACAGAATGAGCATATATGCTCGCTCACTCACTCACTCACTCACTCACTCACTCACTCGCTCAAATGAGCTGTTACATATGTTCATTGAAGTATTCAGGATAAGGATTTCCACTATTAGCTGATCTAGGTGCTCACTGATTTCTAGACACTAGCCACATTTAGCCACTCCAGTAGTTCCATTCACTGCTAAGACCAAACAAACATAATGTGTTTCCCTACCACCCCCAATCTGATGACAATGTCCCTGTTTCCCTCACAGTATTGTCCGTCTTTCATCCACCTAGCGTTTGGATTGATGAACCTATCATTTAAAGACAAGAAAGCAAAAAAGTCAACCTTCCATATTCGTTGATAATCTGAAATGGGAATCCAACAATTTTGGGGGTCAGGTGGGGGGTAACGTAACTAGACTCAGTCATGTTGACTCAAACGGTATATCCACAAACAACATAAGGCCCCTGTTATACATCATACTAATGTCTTTGGCCGAGCATACTAGATCAAGTAGAGTCATAATCCTTTCAGTCAGTTTGTTGACAGTCAACAACAATAGAAAGCGTATTGTACTAGAAAAATCTGAGCCTACATGACTAGAATTCCAACCCAGACGGGGGCCTCCTTTGTTGTGATCAGCTGAGGAGCACTTCCTCGTTTGTGTTTGGGAAATCTATACTTCCTGGCACGGCCCACATCCTATCATAACTCTCAGAAACTGCTGACCGGTGCTGCTAGCTCCTGTATATACCAGTGTCTTCAGATTTCAGATTATTTCAAATCATCAATTACATCTGGCTTTTTCTAATTATCTTATGTCACACTTGGACGCTGCAGTTTGCCGTTGTGAGGCGTACATGGTATAAGTCTACTGTAGCTGGATTTATTCTCATTCTTAGGAGCTTCATGAAAGTAAGTATGCGTTTACTCACCTGAATGGTTGGCATTCTTTCTACCTTTCTTGTTAAATTTATTCATGGTATTACACAGCTGGATGGTTTTTACGGTTAGCCATAACGATATGATTGAAGTGGCTGAGGTTGTTATTTCTGTGACAGCCATTCATTAGGAGTACAGAGCTGTGCCCGGTCATAGACCCTCACTGTACGACATCACATACCTCATGTCCATGACTTAAACAGGTCACTGTCCCTCGTGATGTGCCTTAATGATCTCGAGATAATGACAGCGGCATGGTTTTTGACGATCAATATTAGTGCGATCTGTGTTTCCTTCTTGAGATCCACATACAAGATGTGGAACTTGGTGATGTAATGATGGGATGAAGATATGCAGAAATATTGTACCGTGTTGGACTGATTTGATAGCGCTGTCAGAGGAGCATCATTGCTCTGTTTTGGATTATGTTCACATGTTTTTCGGTCGGGATGACTACATGGTCTACAGATGTCTGAGGGTTTGGGTAATTGAGTTATGTTTCCTGGCGGGATTTCTATTTATGACGATGTCATGTAGGTCATCGGAGTGGATGTGGTGTCCAAGATTGCATGTTTTACTTGCAGACTTACATCTCAGGCTGTTTTACTAGAAACTCTGACATAATACGTGTCACTGTAGAGTTTAATGCAATCAAGGAATGATACTTAATTCTCAATATAGTTTAATTTTCAAAATTAGTTAGAACCCTGAAACAACCTCTTTCATTAATTTGCTTCAAGAAAACTGATAACAGCCTGATAATACTTGTATTTAGAAAATATTGTTGCATTTTCGCCCCCTCCAACCTGTCTTCTGTTCCTGCCTTGTGTATTAGTAACGCCCTTTGTGATATTCAGTTTGTGAGTTTGAGAAGCACAAATACTTCTGGATTACAACCAAATACATGTAATGATCATCATGGCTTAGATATTGGTCTGTACATGTGACTCTTCTTCCTGTGCATACTGCTGATCCAGTACACCGATCTCGACACGCAGCAGATCCATGTGTGGGTTTACGACATGATTCTGTCAATAGTCTTATTTTTTAGTTTTAAATACATTGAATTATTTTCCGTATCCTTCAAGCAACTGGTCTGATCAATCACTATTTTACTTCATAAGTTATGGTATCGACAGTATGTTTTGTGTTGTTTTCTCGAAGTGGTTAGGTCTTAACTTTGTTTGCTATTGCGTTTTATATACTAACCAATAACCAATATATTTCCATATATGGGCAACTTTCCGTGCAATTAGGTTTACAGGAAACACTTTAGCATGCTCCACAGAGTATGTGCTATGATGCTTAAAGAGATCGACAAGTATCACAATTTATACATCATCATGTTTCTCTGGGCGGGTGACTGAAACAGGGGTTGTCTCAAAACTCACAAGATTAATTTCAATAAATCATTCAAATGTATTTATAATTTGTATTGTTGCTAAATCTATATCATATGTTCTGTTTATGATTGCACATGTTGGTAATTCAGTAGTGGACATGTGTGCTGTTGGGTAGTTCAGGAAGGACTAAGCTTTAGCACATCTTACCGACGTCCCTGATCAAACCCCCTATGAGTATAGTTTGTGAAGCCCATTTAAAGTGTGATGGTTTTGATTCAATATTGCTTCAAATCACCAAAACCCAACTCACTTATTAACTACATGAAACACAGATCACAACTGGAGGTGGCGTTGAGTGTGTACATTTCCTGGCTGAACACTTGACTTTTGAAGCTTGAATATTGCTTCATGGGTTTTGAGACAGACCCCAGTTAGTTACATAATATGCCCTTAAAGACAAAGCCTATCATTGAAGCCTGAAACCAAGTACTTCAGTTTGTGAAAAACAATGCATTGTTTTGTGGTTGTTGTGTATCAGAGACCAGCATTTGTTTAGGACAGTTACCTGAGCCATTACTTCACAATATTGTAACGTTGATTAATTTAATCTGGAAAAGAGGAGGGTAATATATGGAGTTGATCAAAGTTGATGTGTTGATATTTGCCCTGGTAGGATGTGATATCGTCTGTATCAGTCCCTGACCATCCTATTTGCTCCTCCACCGATCCCTCAGATAAACGTCTTGTCTCTAAAAAATGAATGCTTGGAATGAACTTTGATGTGAATGTTATGTGATAAAGAGCTCTTAGCTTAGCTGAAAGTGTCAGCTGGTTTTCAGTAGGAGGTAGATTTAATAGTGTTAATTTTTGGAGGTCCATGTAATATTTGTGTTTTCTGTTGGAGGTAGATATTATATTGGTGTATGTGTTTCAGGAACACAAGGAGAAGACGCTCCAGAGGTTTGCTGACATGCAGAATCAGGCCAACCACAAACACCCAGGTAAGTCATTGTCATGTGGTTACATGGTCTCTACCTAATGGTCATCAGCTGTATGTATTATCTCCAACATGAGCATGTGAATACGTGAGATGTTTATATGGATAACAACTTCTTTTTATTCTTTATACCACGTTTCAGAGCTAATTCTTGCTCCTTAATTCACCTGATGAAGGAGCAAGTATTATAGCTCTACACTTTGTATAAAGAATATAAAGACGTTATTATCCATAAAAACTTGCCATGTATTCATGTTCGTCCAACTTCTAAATACCTTTCAGGAATGTCAACATGGGCATGATTTAGACATTTTTTAAATGAATACAGAAAATCATTGCATGAACTTTCCTGACACTGTGATATTCATGTTTGTGTTCCTGGTGCTTTTCTGATTACGTCTGGGCACTAACTGAGATACTTATGTTAGACTAAAGACTTTTCTTACGTGTAATTTTTTGCTCACCTTGATTGTGTGATCAACTGATAAACCTCAGCTCTGAATTAGGACAATGTGTGCATGACTGCATGTACCCCTGACAATTTGGATCTTTGCTTGGACTAATAACCATTTGTTGTTAAGGTGCTGGGTTCTGATCCATGAAGTGTCCATAATGTTATAAACTGACTGAACCATACAGTTTATCCATGGCTTACGCCATAATGTAGAGCTAGGAATACTTTGTGGATCAGGCCTGCGGCTCATTCAGGGACAGTGACATACGTGTTGAAATAATCATTCTTCATCCGAAAGTCCAGGTTCAATTCCCATAATGTGTGAGGTTCATTCCTGGTATATCTCAGTAGAATATTGCTGAACGTGACATAAACATACCCACCACTCACTCACTCACTAACCGCCTCAGTGGTGTAGTGGTTGGAGCGTCCGCCCGGAGAGCAGAAGGTCGTGGGTTCGTACCCCGGCCGCGTCATACCAAAAGACGTAAAAATATGGTACTTGTTGGTCCCTGCCTGGCGCTCGGCATTAATGGGTACAGCAAGGACTGGTCGGCTCGGAGTCAGTATAATGTGTCTGAGTGGGGTATTCATGCTTCACTGTGGCATGGTATCTCAGTGGGCTAGTGAAACCAGCTTAAGTCTGGGCTAGTACAAGCAGCCGCACATACACATTCACACGCATGCACGTCGTCATATGAGCGAAATATTCTCAAGCACGACGTAAAACCCAATTTCACCACCTCACCACTCACTCACTCTGTGACATGATAGAGCTGTTGTGTGCTCAGTATTAGTGTATGTTCAAATGGCTGGAAATAACAAACGTGGTCAATGACACGTGACTAGACATGATGGTTTGCAATATCGGTTGTATTTCCTGTATGCTTGTCATTGATTGATAGACAGATATTGAGATTACTGTGTGTATTTTATCATAAATTAAGCCGGAAATAGCCCTACTGTCACATTTGGATGCTTTTAAAAAATGAAACTTAGCAATAGTACTTTCCGGTTTGTAATTTAGTTGCAGCTGATTTTTTCCCACTTTTCTGAGCAGGAACAATTAACATGATTAAAACATATGTTATATTTGTGATTACACTTACTTAATAATGTAAATTTAACATGTTGCATTTGACCACTTTCTAAAAATCGGCATTGTGTAATCATAGTAGGAACAATTAGTACTAAATCTTCAATAAATCCCCGTTAGCGTAATAGCAACCTGTGGTATCCTGAATAAAGAATTCATCATGTTTGCGTCCAGTAACGACCCACCAACAACCTGTAACTATTTCTTGCTGCAACCGCAACCTCATTAATATTTCATACTGCATGTTAGAGCTGTCACTCATCTGTTCACGATCTACAGGAGATTAGCTCCAAGGTGAGGTGAAATGAACTATTCCTAATGTTTAATTATCTAGGACAGGTCATGGTATCGGTGAGCCAGGTTTGTGTGTATATAGAAACTGCCTGTCTTTGATCACAATCTGTGAGTTCAGGGCAGAACAAACACACTACAATCAAGTGTAAGTTGTAAATACTGTATGGAGTGGTTACTAGTGGTGTGAGCTGGTATGTACAATGAATAATTCCTGTCCAAGTGACAGCTTTGCCGTCTTCACTGGTCCCACATTGATTTATTGAGCAGTCATTTGGCAGCTCGAACCATGGGGCTAATGCAGTTTGCTCATATTCAAAAGAAGGTAATATCGATATTATCAAAATCAGGGTTAGCATGGTGTTCATCAGAATCTGCTTGTGACAATTGTGTGACGGTAATTACATATTAATCACCGCGCAATTGTTAATTGTTGTATCAGCATTTTCAGTTGAAGGTGACTGCGATATTCAATCTCGAAGCCCATATTCAATCCAGATGTTTTTGTTTGTGATTTGTGTGTATTGAAACATCAGGTGTACAATTGGAGCATCCTCTAGATTCATATATACTGCTCAAAAGAAGTTAAGGAACACTGATGTTTCATTTCATGTCAGATTAACTAAAGAACTATAAAAGAATCTGGTGGTCCTAAACTTTTTTAATTTTTTGACTATTATACATTACACAGTTTGAGAAGAATGATTTTGGTTTTGAATGGTTTGTGTTAAATCTGTGTCAGTTTTTGCAACTTGCTTGTCTTGATATTAAATAATGAATTCGAACCATCATGTCATTCAAATGTGCTTTCATCTTCTTTTGTGACTTCAAGTTTGGATTTGTTTTATCTACTACCAATCATCAGAATCAGGAATCAAGTCCAATTAGAAAACATGAAACAATTGTGAAAGTTCAAGCTTTTGAGGTTGATAGGGTAGCCTAGTGGTTAAAGCATTCGCTCATCACGCCAGAGACACGGGTTCGATTACCCACATAGGTACAATGTGTGAAGCCCATTTCTGGTGTCCCCGTTGTATTGCTGGAATATTGCTAAAAGCAGGATAAAAATAAAACTCACTCAAGCCTTTAAAGATCAAGTTGTTTATTTGTTGTGGCCTTATACAGATACAGGAACATGTCAAAACCTGTCACATGTAACTTTTGTATGTAAGAACACATAACTCTGCAGTATTTGTATCCAGTTATCCTCCCTGATTTGATTTGTTGACAGGGCATGTTATCTAAACCAGTTGCACTTGGCTGACTCAAGCCGGCTCAAGCATGTGTTGTTATATATCTACAATCAGTACATTACTAAACACTATCAGCTATTTATAATATCCAGGAATATGAGTGTAAGCCTTGATGACAGTTTCCTGGTTGATACTTAATCATTAATCTTGAGAGTCCTTCAGCAAATAGACATCAGATTATCTGCCTTGGCAGGCCTTTAAACTGACAGATTTCAAAATATAAAAAGTTGTCTTCATTAAGTTTCCTTGAAGAAATAGATGACTTATTCCTTGACCATTTGATAGGTGATAAAATCAGCTTTGTCATCAGATATCTTCAGTTGAGGTTGGTTGTAAATTGTGACTTTTTCACAATGAGATTTTGTGGCGTGGCAAATTAAATAGCACATGTTTGTAGTTTGGAGTTCAGATGCAGAATAATGGAAGTCCCAAGTATTATAATTGCCTCAAAAGTGGATCAGGGTAGTTATGACATCACCCAGGAAGTATATAATGAGTGCTGTTGAAAACAGTAGCAGTGAACTGATCTTGAGCATCATTGTAACTGGGAGTTTCAGAAGCTGAGGTTTCCTAGGAAAATGATTGTTGTCTAAAGTTTCCTGTAAACATGTATTGAACAAAAAACATAAAGGATCATGAATATTTAGGAAGATCATGTTTTTATGAAATCGCATGCTTGGTCTTTTCTGAACCCAAATCCCCTTATTTGGATAAGATGTGTTTTGTGCTTTTCTGAACCAAAATATCCCTTATTTTGTGAAAATGTATCTTGTGCTTTTTGTATTACATATATCAAGACTATATAGGATAAGATTTTCCCTTCACTAAACATTTCAAACAAAAAACCCCTTAAAATCAGTGACACTAGGAGACACCTGAAATGTTCGCCAGCTAGCTAAGCAGCATAGCTTAGTTAGTGCAGTGAAAATCAATGATGCTAAGTTTTCAAAAATGAGGAACTGGGAAGGTGCTTGTTTTCTTTAATGTGGGAAATTCTCAAAATTCAAGAACTTCAGCCGAGCTCTTTCAGGATTGGTACTTGACAAGTTTGGTCCGAATCTAACAGCTGAGATGTGAAAACATTCCTACTATGAGAGCGCTGACCATTCTCATCGACAGATGTTTAGAGAAGAACCCCAGTAAATTTGTCAAGTGGCGGCTATGCTAATATCAAACATAAGGCATTGATTATTGCTGACGATCTAACAAGGGTTTGTTGGCATGTAAAATAAAGCAAACCTACGTGACTATTAGAGTGATCGATACTGTTTACCAAGCCAGTGCACAACTCATGTTTAGATTAATACACCCTTCTACTATTAGGATAACGGCAGTACACGCAGTCCAGTATCAGGTGTCAAGAATCTGTATATATATACAAGCTGATCATGGTTTTGTTAAGGAAATATAAAGATTTTTTCCCCAAATGATTTTTTAAGAGTTATTTCCAGTAGCGACTTTTTCAGTGACATTGTGTCAAAAGGTTTGCTTCCTTGGTTTTTTTATTGTATTTTTCTTAACTTGAATGAAATTGTGTCATGTAGTCATGCATGATTGTGAACTAAAGCAGGTGGAGTCAGGGACTATATCTGTTGGGGATGTGATAAAGATATTTAGCTCACTTTGGGGGTCATTGTGTTAGACGTGTTTACCCCTTGTTGAGAGAGTACTTATCCTGCAAACACACACACTTCTAATGTTGATGACCACAGGTGGCCATGGGGGCACAGTACATCATGTAGTAGTCATTATGTCCGTTGGGCATGTCAGGAACCGATGATGTGGGTTCAAATCCCACTTTATTTTGATGTGTGGGTTTCTTGGCACCATACTGTTCACACCAATTGTTCCACCTCTTGAGTCCAGCGTGACTTTGCGCCATGTCATAGCTGCAGATCTGTTCCAAGTGGTGTTAATCGTGAACACGGATGTCGTTTCAACACTGGTCACAGGAAAGTTTCAACCATTGAAGGAACTTGATCACTTATGAAGAACTTGAATGCACTTTAAAGGATTAAAGTGCATAAGGAGTGTGTTGTACTGAGAGCAAGTCCAAGTAGCATTACAGTACAAACATTGCTTGATTTCCACAGTCTGGAATAGTCTGTCGCTGTACATGGCTATTTTGACTGTGAACAAACTGTTGTGTATTTTGTATTGATGAAAATAGGAAAGCTTCCTCAAATCCTAAGGTAGACCAAGTATATAGCTTTATGATTATTAGTGTTGTAACTTAGTCCATTTTACTCTTCTATACCACCACTTCAGTGTACCTGGCCTAGGGTTATGCACTGTTGTTATGGACTGTTGTTATGCACTGTTGTTATGCACTGTTGTTATGGACTGTTGTTATGCACTGTTGTTATGGACTGTTGTTATGCACTGTTGTTATGCACTGTTGTTATGGACTGTTGTTATGGACTGTTGTTATGCACTGTTGTTATGCACTGTTGTTAGCACTGTTGTTATGGACTGTTGTTAGCACTGTTGTTATGGACTGTTGTTATGCACTGTTGTTATGCACTGTTGTTATGGACTGTTGTTATGCACTGTTGTTATGGACTGTTGTTATGGACTGTTGTTACGCACTGTTGTTATGGACTGTTGTTATGCACTGTTGTTATGGACTGTTGTTATGCACTGTTGTTATGGACTGTTGTTATGGACCGTTGTTATGCACTGTTGTTATGGACCGTTGTTATGGACTGTTGTTATGGACTGTTGTTTGGCTGTGTGTATTGCATGATGTTGTCATTACATGTGTGTATTTTACAGAGGAGGAAGAAGAGTTATACCTCGTTACACCGGAGACACCACTGCCGGACTATGACTTAGAGTCACCAGACGAAAACGTCGACAAGTCCGTTTCCTTATTCGTTAAACGATTCTCCAGGGTTTTAACCAGCATAAGCTTAATAGGTAGAAAAGTGTGATAAACGATAAACTCTATTTACCTATATTTACCTGTACTTATTCTATACTAGACAGTAACCTTATGTATGCATATATAAAGCTGGACACGTGACAGCTATGCAGGGTGACTACATTAGAATGCAAATATAGGGAATGATTTCGAGGTTTCAAATTATGAGACAAGGATAGACTTTCCTAGACAGGACAAGTATATACTACAACATGAGGAATGTTCCATCTGTTATAGACAGTGCTATTGTGGTTTAAAGATACTCACTTATTGTGCAGTGTATTACATCAGACATCATTTGTTAAACTTTACGTGAAATCATGTTTTTATTGAGTACACAAATCTTAACCTGTAAATGTTTCATTCGACTTGAAAGCTTACAAGTTTCTGTTTTGGTGTAAAGTTACAAAACAAAGAGAGATAGGGGTGTTTTTACATCCAATATTACAACTGAAAATAGTTTCTTAACTGTGGTTTCAATTGGATATATACTGCTCATAATATGTTGAGGATCACTCAACTCTTTTATATCAAATGTACTTTAGTTAATATGTCATGCCAGAATCTACATGTCATGCCAGAATCAGGTGATTCTGAACTTTTGTAAGTGGTATATACCGGTACAACTGAAACCTACTTGAAATCTTGTCACCTTGCAGTCATGTGTTCAGCTGTAGATACTTATCACATGGTTTAGGAATTAACAATGTCTGTTGTCTTTTCACTCACAGTAAACTATTTCAGCCAAATTCCTATCTTGCCATTTTCTCATCTTTTGCACAAGAAATGACTTACCCTTCGTGAATTTTTTCTTCCATGTACAAATACCAAAATCAATATAAGGCCCCTACATATATTTTAAACATATGTCTAGTGAAAAATTTGAAATGTTACTCAAGACTCAATTTGTTATCTGCAGATTTTATTATTTTCAATAGCAGATCCTTGAGCTATTTATATCTTAATTGTTTATCGCATAAACCACTTGAAACAAGGAACAAACACATTTTTGACAGAATCAGGATATACTTCTCTGTATCAAGTGTTTTTTATACCTTAGATACATAAAGCATTAACCGTTGTACAAACTTAACACATACTGCTGTAGAAGCCGTTCCCTACTGAGGTTACAACAGTCACACAGATATGGCTGAGAATGAAACAGTTGTGTCTGACAGTGTGATTAGATCATATGCCTCTAATTCCTGTACAGTACTGACATCTTAGATCTGTAGCCCCATGGATTATAATTAACAGTGTGATATATATTGTGCTTCTGACATGTGTTGGCCGTAGTGTCTCCTTCTCTTGCAGCTCACAGACACTGCATATCATTACAGAGCACAGAGCACCTGCTGCAGGGGTCATTGCTAGCTAAACATATCTTCCTTCTCCTAGGCCACAACAACGTCACCATTAGAGTTTCATTAATTCATATTTTGTACATGAGGAAGGAAGCTTTCTCCTTTCACTTTCATCTGTTCGGTGTGTCTGTACATAAACTAGCGAACATGTGAAGCAGTTTCTTGGACTTTGTATATTGTGTTATTGTGAATTAGACAAGGAAATCACAAAATTATATCATTCATCTGTAATTGCTTGGGTTGGTAGGTTTGTTGTTTAACGCGGCACCCAGCAATATTCCAGCTATAAGGTAGTGCTATGTACATAGTTGAGTCTGGACCAGACAATCCAGTGATCAACATCATGATCATCGAACTATGCAATTTGGATATGATGACACATGTCAACCAAGTCAGTGAGCCTGACCACCCGATCCCATTAGTTGCCTCTTACGACAAGCGTGGGTTGCTGAAGACCAATTCTAATCTGGATCTTTACGGGTCATAATAATTATTGCTAGGGGAGCAATTGAATTAGCTGGGATGTTTGGTTGTGAGATAAGCAGGCATGAAAATCTAAAGTTTAAATTGTCATGGCCTGATAAGGTACTTATTTATGTTTCTCACCAAAATGAGATACCTATAGTATAAGTGCGTTTTATTGAAGGGAGATATGTCTTGTGGAAAGTATATGATCACCTGGCAAGTCTGTGCAACAGTTAGGATGTCCAATTTTTATAACGTGATTCTGACATTTTGCTCAGGTACCTAACAGAGAGAACACTTATTATTTTGGTTCTGTATGTACTGATGGTTCTTACAAACAAATAAACCTAATGATTTGTCTTCAGTCCCTGTAGACTGACATAAAAATCCTATTTTCTTTAGTCATCTGTAAGTTCAAATTTAACAGCCTTTCACTTAAAACTTGGCATATTTACTTCTGGTGTAATAAAATACCTGATGATAAGCAACTTGTCTGCAATGTACACGTTGAGTTATGATATTTTGGACATCCTACATCTTTTTAATGTCTTTGTCTTTCAGCATAAAGTCACAAATCTGTTGTGAAAGCATTCACTTTGATAGCTTTCACTGGCCTGTAGAGAGATTAACATTAAGAGAATAATCTATTGCATGATATTTTTAAGTAGTTGTTTTGCTGAAATAGTCAATGCTTTTTTCACTTAGATTCTTGTGCACTAGAGCATTTTCCTCACACATAAATATTTTGATTTGTTGTTTTATAACTTTCTATTGTTTAGAATGTTGTTTTATAATAACCTTTTGAATTACAATTGTTAAACAAAGATATTGACTTTTTTTTTCTAACAACTTCTTTATAATGCTGATACAGGCTACTTCTTGCCCTTTCTGAAGTGATGAAGTACAATGAATGATGAAGGGCAAGAAGTGACCTTGTAGGGTCATTGCATGTGGTTATACCACAGATGGTAACCCTGCCTTATCAGCTTGCAATGGTTAACCTCTTTTGTCATGATAATAAGGCCTCCAACCTGGCATCATGAGGTCCATGGGTGGTTGGAATATCATCATGGACAAAGGGGAGGAAGTTGCTGTGCAATATCAGGCGTTGAAAGTGAAAGATGTAGCTCAGAAATAGTGTTACAAATAAGGCCGTTATCCATGAAAACTTTCAAGTCTTTACATTCTCCCAAATTGTAGATTTCTAGTCCATTAAATCTAAGTCCATTTATTTAAATTTGTTTAATCACAAGACACATTTGTAGAGTATTGCATGTTGGTCAAAGTAATACCTAGACTGGAGATTATCCTGAACTGACTGTGTCAGATTGTAAGCATCAGATCACCTCTGTTCCAGACGACAATAATGCTGATGTGGCCGAACCTGACCCTGACTACCTCCTAGATGACGATGTGTCTGCAGATTCCTTCCCCCTTCCCCCATCACCCCTCAGTCTGGATGCAGACGTCGTCCCCCAGAACGGCCAGTCATTCCACCTCCACCCACACCCCCATCAGCGACCTCCATCACTGTCCGACACGGAGTCAGCTGAATCACTTATCCGACCGAAGAGGTTGGCTAATCCATGCGTTGAGTCGCGGGAACGACAAGCCCTGCATCGAGAACTTCTGTTGAACTACAAGCTGTAAGTGTGATCCAGAAGGCACTGTCTGATCTGACATTCTATCCCTTGTGGCGTTGTAAATGGTGGAATGCTTCCGTCTTTTATATCTCAAATTTTATGTGTCACATGATTGAAAGAAATCACAAACATTTTTGCTTTTTTTTAACATGGAGGTACATATCCTACAAAGCACCATCGTTCCTATTGTTATGTTATAGGTTGTTTTTTGGAAACATGTTCCTGTATTAAAGTGTACACATAGGTGTTAGGAAACATGTATCCAGACACTACACATAAAAGAATGATGTAAGCCATATAATCTCATCACAGACATACAAGACTGCTGTAAGGAAACATGTATTCTTAGACTAAGCACGACCGAACGATGTTAGGGAACATACCCCATTCAAAACATGTTAGAATGGTGTTAGGAAACATGTATCCAGAAACTAAACTTGATATATACTGGACAAAAATAGTTAGGGATATACATACATTTTGAAATTATGAATAATGATTTATTTATTCATTGACACACTGATAAAATATCAATCACAAAAATACCAATATCCCTAACGTATTTTGTCCAGTATATTTGTCTCAGGAAATGTGCCAATATTATGGCATGATAGGTGTTAGGAAACATGATTCAGTGTCATCCAGTATCTAGTATCATCCAGTATCATGAAGGTTATATGTTCCTGTTTTGTCTGGTTCGATAGCTTAGCGGTTAAAGCATTTGCTCGTCATGCTGAAGACCTGGGTTTGATTCCCCACATGGGTGCAATGTGTGAAGCCCATTTCTGGTGTCCCCCGCCATGATATTACTGGAATGTTGCTAAAACCAGCATAAAAACAAACTCACTCACTCACTCTATTTGTTTCAGAGGTAAGAACGTCCTGCAGAAGCCCGAGTTGAGCAAACTGATGCTGGACCGGAGGCAGACGCAGAAGAAGAAGGAGTGGCAGGAACAGATGAACAACAAGCGCACCAGCTTTGAGCTGAAGATGGAGGAGAGAGCCACACGACTGAAGGAGGTATGCCATGTCAGCTGTGGGCTGGCCATACACTATGGTCAGCACCTCTCTGTCAGATGGTGGATATGGACAGTGGATAAATCTCTTTCTGATCATTTCTATAAAGTAGGGATAACTGGGAAAAAAGATAGATAAATACTTTAGTTCGATCTATTATTCATTATTATTTTTGACACACTGTCACTGTAAGGTGTCCTGGTTCACTGTAAGGACAAGGTGTCCTGGTTCACTGTAAGGACATGGTGTCCTGGTTCACTGTAAGGTGTCCTGGTTCACTGTAAGGACTAGGTGTCCTGGTCCACTGTAAGGACAAGGTGACCTTGTTCACTGTAAAGACAAGGTGTCCTGGTTCACTGTAAGGACAAGGTGTCCTGGTTTATTGTAAGGACAAGGTGTCAAAGTCCACTGTAAGGACAAGGTGTCCTGGTTCACTGTAAGGACAAGGTGTCAAAGTCCACTGTAAGGACAAAATGGTATGGTTCACTGTAAGGACAGAATGGTATGGTGACATTTGCTTTATCTTTCAGGACGAGCAGAAATCCATGACTACAATTTCGGAGACATCTGGAGGTCCAGAACTGATGAGGATGCATGCCAAGATCACTCACAAACAATGAGAACCCCTGATGTTTCTGTTGGGAGAAGTGTTCATCTAGGCTCATACACACGATGGTTGGAGAAAGTGTGACAGCAGGAACATAGACATTGCCCAGCAGTTGCAACATGAACTGTACACTGACGTCAGTGATCACCTGAAACATTCTTATACAGATCCGGCACAGAAGGCCATGGAGAGGCCTTTTAAGGCCATTGTCCTTGTACTTATATTTCAATCTCACAGGAACTGATAACAAGATTAAGGAAATAATTCATGGGAACTTTATGATGCAGACATATATATGATGCGTATCTCACCTCTGGAATCGTGCAAGCCCCAACTCTACAAGAGGCATCCGGCGACTGTCGTGTCTGTGGACAGACGTTCTTGTTGGTCATCAGCAAACGATATCTGCACAGCCCTAGACCTATCATGTGACCTCTAACATATCAGCGAATGTGCAAGTATTTCAATCAGTGCGACAGTGATGTGATGCTCTATTTCTTCCATGGAAGTTGTCATGACAGTTGCCCCTCTGATCCATCGTTCACATAATAATAAAGGTAAACACAGGTGTGAACGTCAAGGTGGTCACCATTGCAGAGCCAGTGTTTCACTTCAGAGGTGAACCGTGGACTGTACGCTATACATGTGGGTCTGCTCTTCTACAAGGTGTTGAGAAAATGCCAGCATCGTCTGTATCAGCAGTCGAACTATACAGGGACCAGTGGTTGTCAGATGGTATTTGTAGCAGATGTATGAATGTGTAAGAATGATGTTAGCACCATGATTAACAAAACTGCGATATGCAGTTTGACAAACCTCAGATTCCATGCATGTATGACAATGTTTGTTGCAGATTACAGTTTACAAGATGTGTTCAGTGAATAGTCCAGCATAGTCAACTATTTTAGGATAATTGTATCCATTTCTGACTTTTACCTTTTCAGTTTGAAGAAAACATCTTTAAGTAGATAGCTGATTAAATTCACAAAGCTGGGGTTAAGATCTCAGCCATAACATGACCATATCAACTTTTTACTGCTAAATCTAGCTTGTCAATGAATAAGCTCAGTAACTGAATGTGCCAAACAGTCAAGGGGACATAACTCTTGCTACATATCCCTTTACCGGTCACTGAACACTGCAGTCACATATTAGCATGGCGTTAACAAGGGAGATAATTCCTGCATTGTTAGTATTCCACTCTCACGTACTGCACATGCATGTCACATTGTGGGTTTGTTTAAATAGCAGTGTTCTCATACATATTAATTTTCTAAGTGTTTAAATGTGACATTTGATTGTTTAAAATCATATATGTATATATATTAATCAATAAAATTAAGAATTTGTGGCTAAAATGGTATATGTGTGTAATTTGCAGTGGGAAACTTGCCTGACCACATTCTAGATAGCAACCGAGTGTTGAAACTTCAGTTGAATGTAAAAGATTTCTCCAGTGAAATTCTTACTTTAAAGATGCTGAACACACATCATGTGTAATTTGCTTGGTTTACAGATGCCCCACCTTACAAAGTGAAAACTTTAAAAAGATAGAATGAAAATGACAAGGTTGTTTGTGTTTTTTAAAGTGCTGTCTTTAAAATTGCCTTGACAACAAATGTGATAATAAAGTGAAACTTTTCGATTTTAGATTTAGGAGGACCTTTCAGATTGTGTTTACTGTTATATTATCCCAAACAGAACCAAATGAAGTTTAAGATGATTAAAAATCCTGTAAAATGTGTATTATTTTTATATTTTGGTCACCAACTGATTAAATATTTCACTATCAAAATCTGTAAGCCAAGAACAACTCATCTGTGCTCATGAGTATCGGTGGATGATAATATAGCAGGTGTTCAGGATGAGCTAATTGATATCTGACTGATATTAAATATCAAATATAGAAGTGAAAGAGCTGTATGCGTCCATGTTTAACATGAATCATTCCTTTGTTTAAGTGTGAGTCATTGTTCTGGATCATATGATTATTGATCAGTAACTTTTGTTTATAAAAATACATGTATTTCAGAACAGAACCAAATTTTACATTCCAAAAATATTCAAATTTACAATTTTTCTTCATTCAAATTTTATGATGGAACTCTTTCTTTTCATGTTACTAATTTCAGTAAACAATATAGAGGTAAACTACTAGACACTGAGAGGTGACATTGGCGATGGAATTGCCATGAGGTAACAGAGCAGTGATGATAGACGATCACATGCTAATCACTCTGTCACTCATGGCATGCTTTCCCACTGTGTGTTTTTTTTATTAAAAAACAACAAGCATAGAATCTCTGACTAGCAACACAGCTGTTTGCTTCTTGTGTCAGTACCAGACTATTACTTCGTCTCTTAAGAACACAGGAGTTAGTTGTTTTCATTTAAGGATTGGCTTTTTTTCTAAATTTTAGATTTGAATTCTTTGGTGATAATTGAATCTTTACAAATTATATTTGGGACAAATTTCTATCCAAGATGTGCATCCTTATTTTATTTTCGTATGAACAAGATCTAGGTCAAATGTTTTTCTTTTCTGTTGTGGGGAAAGTACCCATATAGTACAGTGTGATCTTCATTCACTAGCCCTTTCAAAATTAACTAGCCACCAACTGGCAGGCCACCATTCATCTCAAACGCTTTCTTGATCAATGTGGTTTAAGCATTATTTCTATGTTAGTTGATGAATCTAAGCAATATGGGAGATATGTGACCGAAGTTGTATGATTGAGTAGAACTAGTTGGCGGAACTTGGGTGAACGACAGGTAGTGGTACTGATGGGATTGTGATACAACAGTGATAACATATCATAGTACAGAACATTTTATATATTTTAGTTAACAGATAAAGCTATTTATTTATGGTGATACTAACAGTACATCAGTGAGAGGTTATTCCCGTACTCATATATACATATTCAATGGCTTGGGGCCCAAGCTGCTATTCTTGTATCGCTGAGTCGTACAACATCCAGGCTTTTAGTCCATGTAGTAGAAGACCAGAGTTGCTTTCCTTAGCTGTGTCAAGATTTGCTGAACATTCTTGAAATCTAATATTGGGCCACTAATTGATTGCTCACATATACACTTACAAATATTCCAATCTCAATATCAGTTTGTGTTTTGGGGGTTTTTCATTGCCGACTCTAAAGTAGGTGTGAGCCAGTCTATAAATGGTTGTTGTTTCTCATAAATGATGTTGCGTACATGTTTCTGGGACAAGTCTAAATGTAAACCTGATTCGGCTTCAAAACCATTTGCTGTATGTCTTTTGATAGCTCCTAATTTCAGTCTGTTGGTTTCTAAAACTGATTAACAATGAGGGCTTTGTTATTTGCTCACAGGATTTCTGAGGCAAATGTTTACCACAGGCTTTCATTTTCTCACACCCACACAGACTTGATGTCTTCAAATGTAAAGTTGTATTACACACTTCTCCTGATATGCTATGATGTGCAAACAATAATGACAAAACCTTTTCCATGATAAGAAGCCTCTCATTTAAACAGAGTCCTTATGTAATCCTGACTTTATCATGATCATATTATGCTTTTGTATCAGTGTCACTTATTGCCGATATCAGATGTCAACGAACACGTGTCCATATCCTGCCACTCCGATAGCTCTCGTCACACACATATGATCCCTTGATGTCGAATAGTACTTATGTAGATACCTACATTAATCAGCTGAGTCGGACGATGGTTGAATGTCAATTTTCAAAGCTACTTGTTAAACTGCCGGGGTTAACACAGCTCGGGTTGGATGGATGATAGTCAAGTCAAATGCTGTACAATAAATATTTTGAATTTCATGGCTCTTTGTCCATTTGTGTTGCATTTGATGACACGATATGAGGTATGTTTCTTGGTATCCTCAACTACAGGACTTTAGATGGTTAATTCAGTGTAAAGTATCGATGTTGTTTGTGTGGGCATTATGAACATATACTGAAGGAAACAAATAAGGGATCACATGAAAGCACAAGTGTTCCTTTATTTTTTTACCAGGTTTCTTCACAAGCTTTGTATCACACAACTTGTGAAGAAACCAGGAAACACAATAAAGGAACACTTGTGCTTTCATGTGATCCCTTATTTGTTTCCCTCAGTATACATAATAATTTTGCAAATATTTCAAGATTATTTTTACCTTTATGATCGGGGTTCATCTACCTGATGTCTTGATCAATCAACTGCAACACAAACGTGACAGTGGTTCACATAATGTACAGATATGCTTGGTCAGGATGATCTGTATCATGCGACCATTTAGAAACTGTTAGAAGTTAGTTATAATTCTAGTTGAAGCTAGTAATATCTAGTTATTTAACAGTAATAATTCTAGTTAAATCTAGTTATTTATTTGGATAGTTGATGCATGTTTTAAGTCATGTTTTTGAGGCATGAGTTGTATTGAGGATGATAATTACACAGGCAAAATAGTGACACACTTTCACGTAATGTCATGTTGCATGCATTCATGCAGAAAAACACAATTCAAGACAAATATTTTGTGTTTTCAGCAGAAATAAAACTTTGGGGTTCTTAGTAAATATATTTTCCATCAAATATGAAAAGTGTGTGTTGATTTTTATCCAAGGTAGAATCATAGTACAAGGCATTAAAATCCTGTCTGATGTGCTGGTTTATCTGTGAAACTGTCTGATTGGCTGGTTCATCTGTGAAACTGTCTGATTGACTGGTTTATCTGTGAAACTGTCTGATTGGCTGGTTTATCTGTGAAACTGTCTGATTGGCTGGTTCATCTGAGAAACTGTCTGATTGGCTGGTTCATCTGTGAAACTATCTGATCCTCTTAGTTCTGTCTTTAGGTTTGCCTTCTTCTGCCTGCAATGCATAGTTGTCACTCATGTGTAATGTATCCCAGTCCATACACAGTTTGTGTTCTAACGATAAATATATTTCGTACTTAAAATAGCCAACCCTTTTTATTGATGTACTAATATGTACATTTATACAGTTACCATAACGCAATGCATGCTCATAGCCGTGCAAGTACTACTCTGGTCAGTCTATGTGTGTTCATTGGCATTCTCAGTAGGAGTGTGTGGAAATGATTACACCTTCTGACAAGTCAAGTGTATCAGATACTTACATAGGCATCCTAGACTTCATCAGACCTCTGTGTGTATTCAAGGTTGGTGCTGCATCTTCTGTGAAGTCAGCTACTGCATCTGCAAAACACTGTCATCACTGTCACCAGAAGCTTAGCACCGCTCTCAAAAGAGACTATTACCATGACAACGCCCTGACTATTTGTTGCTTCAGAGGCAGTGTAGCATCACAGTCTCACATTTTTCTGTTGTTTTAGTTGGATTATCGTCATTGTTTGTTTAGTTTTTATGGGATGGGAAATATGGCTGGACTGTGCACTGCGGCATTTACAGTTAATGTTGTTGACTCGGAACCACTGATGCTGGACCGAGATGGCAGCAGCTCTATATCAGCATCCTTGGCAGGATGGAGTGGGAAATGTTTCTCAGGCACATGTGCAGCACTTTTATTCCTGGTGTTGATTGTCAAGAAAGAATATTTTTTCCTTGTGACAATGGACACTCTGTTATACATAAAAACTATGCTTGACAGCTGACCCTGTATTGAAGAGCGTTTTTCAGTGTGTGCACACCTGCCTGTTGGTATTCTTGGTGAGAAAACACAGCGTTTCCCTTGCATTTCTAATCCTTTCAATAAAAATATAGACCTACAGAACTCCTCACTTTTGTGAAAATTGTGCCCGCGATACATTTGTTTTCATGCAACCAAGTATGCCTACCTATATTCTTTGTTTTTTTCCTGTGTATCTTCTGTGTAGAAACATTATTGGTGTTGTCCGTACTATATTGTGTTATATGGAATATTGTCACTGTAACAGTCAGTTACAGTACCAGTTACATCAGCAATAGGGTGGTGAATATTCTTTGTAAGTTCCATGTTGATAATTCTGTTACCTTATTGGTTGATATTCCCATGTTTCCATTTAGAATCTTTCCCTTGAGTTGACGAGTCTGTGTTTAATAGATAATGTCAAAAACAACAAATATGTCTGTGGGGAAATGAGTTGGAATTCAAGTTGGTGTGACAGACTTCATGTTTGTTCCTAATCAGTTAATTGATTCCATTGTTAATCTTTACATTGCATGTACTTGGGTTTTTTGCAAGGTAAACAGACATCAAAACTCATACCCAGTTACCTTTTTCAGCTAAGAGATGGAATCAAAGTCACTTTATACTGTAGTTCACCTTCAGCATCCTTATTATCTTACATGTTTCTCTGACAGTTACTGTTGACAATGTCGGACATGCATGGAGAAGCCCTGTGCTTGTCTACTGTTGTCTTGCACAGACATCTATTAAATGTCTGCCCAGTGTCCACCTAGTTCTGGACTGTGATTAATACAGATATAAAACAGGGACAGTTTCTTCCTGTAATTACAGACCCATACAGTGTTATATTCATATGTACCATAAACATTATGCTTACAGACAAAAAAGTGTTGTCAAGGCACTTGAATGGAACTGCTTGGATTGCAAGACAGCCCCGGATTAGTCCCCTTTTAAAGAAGTCCATCTTGAGCATAGTATTCATACCCTCAGGGAAGACCCCTTCTCAACAGTCCTGCTGACGCTTGCTATCTTCCATGCTGGTAAATCTGTGTCCTTGCCTTCAGAATATTATTGATGTGTAGAATCTCAAGACATGTGATATCAAACGTATCCACACATGAACATGGTGATAACTACTCTGTAAGCCCCAGTGTTGATATTTAGGAGTTGATCTATCAAATATTAACATCTCCTTACTTCCCTTGCAATGAAGTCATGTACCCTCCAGACATTGTTTTTGGTTCTGCCTTGGTTTAGACAAGGACTATGTTTATGCATGTTGTGCAGGCATATCTCAGTCTCTTCCCAACTTGTACCCTCGTGTTTGTATCTCTGCTTTCCTTCTACATTGCTGTGTTGTACCGAGGGCCTACTGCTTCCTTTGCCTGGCAGCTGGACTGGCTGCTACCTTTGCCTGGCAGCTAGACACTGTCTACAAGGTCAAGGTCACACCTTGATCCATGACATTCTTCAGATGAAGATATTCATGATCGTCTTCATGTAGGCTACCTTCCCCATGTTTTTTTATGTATTTCATCTTTCTTATGCAAGACATGTTTTTTGTTCAAAAGTTGACATGGTGGTCTGTAAAATGGTTTTCCTGAAATTGAATAATGGAATTGTTTGATTCCACAGATAAATTTGGAACTATTGGGAAAATAGACTAAAAACTATAAATGGTTATTTGGTTGAATGTCCAAAAACGTGAAACAAAATTTCAAAATGACTTCTTGATTGATTTCTCAATGTTGTTTTGTGTTGTGTTTGTTTTACATATAATTTTAATTTAAATACATTATACAGTGCAGCTGAATTTGTCAGCCAGTGTACCCATGCCTTAGACATGCCTTGAGTTGTTTGTCTTCCACAGAAATGTTTTAAGAGGAATACCTAATTTGGTGGAGCAGGTATCTAAAGCACCAGACATTACTGATAACATACCTTAAGGACTTCTGAATTTACCTTCTGCATCTTGTTGTCTTTGAAAACAAAAAAGTCAGAAAGAATGATGGCTGTTTCTTATCACACTGGACCATTAATGATCCCATGCGACATTAGTGTGTTATGAGAGACTGTGTGATGCTTCTGATCAGCAAAGTATTTCCTCTGCTACAGCCATGGAAACTTGTAATAATGATTCACTGAATTCCACTGTAATTTTTATTATTTCTTCTCTCTTCAATGTCCCATTTGTTTCCAGCACCAGCCTTTGTGTTACCTGAGTGTCAGTGTCAGATAGTCTGTGTAGAACTAATGTCTACCTGAGTACCTACCTGAGTGTCAGTGTCAGATAGTCTGTGTAGAACTGTCTACCTGAGTACCTACCTGAGTGTCAGTGTCAGATAGTCTGTGTAGAACTAATGTCTACCTGAGTACCTACCTGAGTGTCAGTGTCAGATAGTCTGTGTAGAACTGTCTACCTGAGTACCTACCTGAGTGTCAGTGTCAGATAGTCTGTGTAGAACTAATGTCTACCTGAGTACCTACCTGAGTGTCAGTGTCAGATAGTCTGTGTAGAACTGTCTACCTGAGTACCTACCTGAGTGTCAGTGTCAGATAGTCTGTGTAGAACTAATGTCTACCTGAGTACCTACCTGAGTGTCAGTGTCAGATAGTCTGTGTAGAACTAATGTCTACCTGAGTACCTACCTGAGTGTCAGTGTCAGATAGTCTGTGTAGAACTATTGTCTACCTTTGTGCCTTTCTGTAGAGTTGTGATAGGAACGCTGGGATGAGGACAAAATACTGCTGAGTTGACAAATCCTGTGTCAAATGTAATGCACAACCAGGCAGTGTCCGGATGTATTAAAAATAATTATTGTACTGCAAAATGGATGTATGTATTCATAGTGAATGTAGGAAAATGGTGGACAGAAAAGTGTATTGACAATGAACCCAGACTTGCCCACATTTGTACAGAAAACTGGATTGACAATGATCCCTGACCAAATAATTCTCAGCAACTTGCCATTACCTGTGGGTTGCACCAGATCTGATGAACCTTCTGGACCTCCTGCATCACTTCCAATGAACATTAAGCCTGACATCTCCCAGTCAAGTAATCCTCATCCCAGCACTTGCTTACCCGGACACCTTATAGACCAACCATTGGATATTCTGGGGACGGCCTTCCATGTTTTACAAATGTGTGTTCTGGAAAACCCAAAATAATTTAATTTTTTTTTACTGTGAGCAGGACATCCAGTTTATGCTGAAAAGTAATGTGTTGTGATAGGAAAATATATGTTCGTCCCCTCATTCCAGAGAAACATATTTTGTCATAAAGCTTCTATCCTAACTGAAACTGACCGAGGTGAACCCTCTGCTGGAATAACTGATGGTTGTTGTTGTAGTGGATGGAGTCATCATCATTCAGGTATAATGTCCTCCATATGTCCTTCCTGCTGCCTTTGTGTTATCCAGTGAACCCTGCATCCATGACAAGGCGTATCTGGTGATGCTTCTTGACTTTTGGTTTCCATGTTTATATCCTTACAACTTACCTTGCAGTTGATGAACATAGAGATTTTTTCTGGGTTACATCTTCTTTTTATTCTAAAAGAAGATGTAACCCAGAAAAAATCTCTATGTTCATCAAATATCATCTTCTAAAATGCCAATCAAGTATCTTGCAGTTGATGTTGATCATTCTGTTGTTCCATGTGGGGTTGCCATGGTTATGATAGTTAATATGTGTGTACCTTTGTGCTGATCATTTAGTGTGAAAGCCTGTTTTAAGAGACTCTGTTACTGGGACAATCATATTCCTTGACAACGCAATGGATGATGGAACAACAAGTACCTCTCTCCACTGTCAGATGTCCATAACCACTCCATGCTGCTTGATTGATGCATGAAACTGGAATTATCAAAGAAGTGAAATATTGTGTGAATGACCAGGCTAGCTATTCTCGAAACAGTCGTAGCCCTACAAACTTCTTAAGCCCATTCTTAACTCATTGGCTACGATCAAAGTTAAGAATTCTTAGGGCTACAAACGTTTCGAGAATAAGGCCACTGATTCTTCCTAAACAATATTGACAGAGAAAAATATGAGTGTCCAACATCAGGGCTAAAACAGACTCATCAGGCCAAATATTATGAAAATTATATGAATGGATAACTCCAAATTAGCGAAGACACCAGGTATTCATGTGAAGGGTAAGCATGTACTGCTCCACTTTATGAATAGTTTAAGAGGGTGAAACTTGTTGTCATATCCAATAAGATGTTTGTGTAAGTTTTCTCTCAAAGTACCTCCAATATATATGCATACATTTACATTAGCCTGATACCTGTAATTCAAAATGGATAAGTTTTCATCAAATGTGTGTTGTTTTATAGATATTTTATTCCTTCATTCTCTGAGTCCCACTAAATACTCTACTTACAAATTCAACTCAGCTTGAAATCTGCCATCACTACTGACTTTGTCCTATGGCAAGGCCAAATAAATTATTTGTTTTACAAATATGCTGTAAACATGCCAAGAGACAGTATGCAAAATATATTTAAAAAAGAAATGTCATGCTTCATTTGTGGTTGCATTTCCCTTAAATTATTATTAGACAAGTCAACAAAATACCTACAAAAGTTATACAATATGAGGTTAAAAAGACGTTATTTCAGTAATGTGCAAAATCATTTTGTTTTGTTCATATTTTACCCTTTTTCCGAGTTTGATCGTATTTAAAAAAACATGCTGAAACAAACAATGATTATTTTTATGCTGCTTTGGCCTTACAGTTTAACTGGTACATGTCACTAATCTGTTTTTGACCTATTTCAACAAGTCCTCGAACCTACATAAGTGAGACCTTGTAAAAAGATGTGCGAACATTAAACTGGTCTAGGAATGAGAACAAGGTGACTTGTGTATTTATCTGAACTCTCAACTCAACAAGGTGAATCTGCTAAGCTCTGAAACTCAACAACTCCCTGAATATAATAATGTCACATTCTCCAAATGTCATGTTACACCAGTTGTTGAGGTTCTTGCTGCATTTGGGGCGGTGGGGTAGGCTAGTGGTTAAAGCGTTTGATCATCATGCTGAAGACCTGGGTTCAATGGCGCAAATGGGTACAATATGTGAAGCCTGTTTTTGATGTGCCCACCTGATATTGCTGGAATTTTGCTAAAAGCGGCGTAAAATTAAACTAATTTCTGCTGCATTTAAAGGTGGACTACATTGACAGTTTCTGGTTTCCTTGCATGACTTCATGATTGATTTCCATCTATGATCTTTTAGTATATTTCAGTTTAGTGGCTGACAAGAAATGTATTTTCGAGGCTGTTGCTATTTATAATAACCCATGTCAAATGTCCAGACGCTTCTGAAATGTGAAACGTGAGGAGACCGACATAGTTAATGGTCATCGTATGTAGGTTTGACTGAACTTCTGTACTCATGTACCTGTGCCAGCCTGTCCATCACAGAAACATAGATACTTCAGTTGCCATCCAGTATTATCAGGCCTCAATAAACATTTGTCATATATCTACTCCGTGTTGGTTTTCATATTTACAAGACCCACCTGTAACAATGGGAGTGTCACCTGAGATTGAATAGTGAGTGAGTGCGTTTAGTTTACGCTGCACTCCGCAATATTCCAGCTATATCACGGCAGTCTATAAATATTCATATTGCAGAGAGCGGCATAAAACTACACTCACTCACTCACTATGAATAATCAAGTCTGGACCAGACAATCCAGTGATCAACAGCATGAGCATCGATCTTCACAACTGGGATACTATGACTTGTCAACCAAGTCAGCAAGTCTGACCACCTGATCCCATTAGTCGCCTCTTATGAAAAGCATGGGTTACTGAAGACCAATTCTAACCTGGATCTTTACGGGTCTGAGATTGAATAGGGTCACAAACACCATAGGTTTACATACAGCCATAAGGCCACATGCAGTGGAGGAACAAGTAGAGGTGAGTGAGTTAGTGAGCATTGTTTGAGACCACAATTCCAGCCATGTCAGGAAGTCCTGTGTTTGATCCTGTCTGGACAAGACAAACCAAGGTATGGTATGTGTAGTGTATTTATGTGTCACATACTAGTTGGCCACAATGGCATGTATTTGACCAACAGAGCCTGGCCATGCCATCGGTGGTGTTTGAGTGGTGGTGTGGTAGGATCTGCATAGGACTGTCATATGGTGTTAAGATAAACATTCATCTTTTGACACATTATAGAAAGTATATATGATCATCAAAGGCCCCATATCGATGTTTCTGGAGGATGTTCAATGAGTGAGTGAGTTTAGTTTTACACCGCACTCAGCAATATTCCAGCTATATGGCGGCGGTCTAAACAACCGTCATGTGTTTTGCTGCACCACACAACTATGAGGGGTTAAGTATTTGATTGCTTGACAAAGCTGCCATTGTGTCTTCTCAGTGTAATGCATATGGAGCACAAGAGTATTCAACATTACGCGTGCAACATCAGACAGTCATGCTTTGTCATCATTTGTTCATTGTTATGTCTAAAGTATTCATAATTATGAATGTTGTAGATATAATTAGGTTTAACGTTTACGTTACTCAGCCATATTCTAGTTTTATGATGGCGGTCTGTAAATATCCAGTTTGGACCAGACAATCAAGTGATTGTCATCATGAGCAATGATCAACGCAACCGGGACACTATTAAGTGCACAGCCAAGTCAGCTAGATTGACCACCCGATCCTGTTACTCGCCTCTTGGGACAAGTATGAGCTGCCAGTTCTAACCCGTATCTGCTAACCACAGTTCTCCACTCCAGTCTTACAGGTTTGGCCAGGTTTGGTCAACAGAAGTGTAACTTAAGTCAGTAATAATGTGCCAACATTGGTCAACCAAGGTTCACACCTTGGTCAGCACGGACTCACAAATGGTATCGTTGTCTGATCAGTTCGTCTGCTATACTAGGCCATTCGTGACCCACTCATGTTATTCCGTGACAGGCCGGATACTGAGTTACATTCGTGACCAACTCGTGTTATTCCGGGACAAGCGGAATCTTCTTGGAGTGAGTGAGTATGGTTTTATGCCGCTTCTAGCAATATTCCAGCAATATCACGGCGGGGGACACCAGAAATGGGCTTCACACATTGGACCCATGTGGGGAATCGAACCCGGGTCTTTCGCGGGACGAGTCAACACTTTAACCACTAGGCTACCCCTACCGCCCCGAATCTTATTGGAGGTTACGGAAAGGGGCGGGTGGTGACGAATGACGGAATTATAGAAAGGGGCGGGTGGTTACGAATGATAGTAGTCATCTTTGTGAAGTCATTCAAAATAGGAGCAGCGCTCCGATTGGATATCGCCTTTTCATCACAAGGGACACAACTAGTGATCTACACGTGATGGCGTAGCGATCAAAGCATGAAAAGTAGCATTGAAATGGCAAGGGTCGAACCCGGGCATTGGCGTAGGCAATATGGATACTCTGCCTCGGGTCCTGACGAAGTTTGAAAGTGACTGTCCTGCAATATTTTCTCCCCTTGCACTGCGCTACAGCTTACATATTTAATAGTTTTGTCAGAGAATATATGGTCTCTGGATTTGTGACTAGTTCAATATTTCTACTCTACGTTCATTTCAGCTCACTGGGACCCAGGTCCATGTGATATTATGGCATGGCGCGTTGTTTGTCCCTTGGGTTCTGACGTCTTCCTCCAAGCGACAGAAGGGATGAACTTGACACTGTTGGAGGATGTCTGGCATGGTGTCTGATGCCAGTTTTGTTCAGTATTTAGTGTGTATCAATAATGAATGAGTCAGCTTGGCTGTGTTCATCAGTACGTATCATACGGATACAGTTCTACGTGATCTTCGTGGTGGGTGAGCTATCTAAGGCGCCAGGCTAGTGATCCAGCGAGCTTGAGGTGTCGGGATCGAGCCCACCTGTGACCGGGTGTAAAAACGTTGGAGTCAACGTTGTGTGCAGACTCTTTCAGTGTTGTCACAACCCCTAGTGTACAGTACACAACCCTGTGCACTTAACAGAACCCACGAATCTGTTGGTACATGACCAGATGGTGGCCGGGTACAGCAACGTGCAGTGAACTCGGACAAAGTACTGTGACTCTGTGTCCCAGTTCACCCAGCTGTCAATAGGTACCTCGTCAGGATGAGAAAGTCGCAATAACTCGGTGTGCCTAGTGGCTGTAAAAGTTGTATGTTCCCCAGGGAGTTGAGATTGATAATATGATGTGCCGTTGAACATCAGCATAGAGTAATTCAGAAATACGAACACACAAAAGTCAGGTTTATCTGCAAACAGTAATTAACAGAGATTAATTTACAAAAAGTCCAAAATACGCAAATGGATGGGCCATGGAATACGTTGAATCCTTTTAAAGAGTTACAATTTTCCATAATCACACCGAAACCTGTTTTGTCTTGTTCCATGTTTTCAGTTGAGGTAAGACAAGGACACCCACGTCACTGTCAGTAACTGGACCATGTTTACGTCGTTGTGTATCGTCTACTCGGTGTTGTCCTGAAAAATACCACCGTTGTCTTCCCATCCTAACTACAATCAGGTTCCTTGACCTCTGACCCTTGCCTCGCATGTCTGTATATATACGTAATACTGAGACTGCTCTCTCTCACTCTCTGTTTCTCTGTCGCTCGAGAACTGGTCACAAGTGAAGGTTTTGTGGCATCTTGCGGAACTTGAGATTTCAACTTGCGAGAAGGCACCGGAAACGACTTTGACGCCATGAGTGACCATCGGACCGTGGTCATTTCCATGGACGGAAGTGATTGTGCTGACTTTGCCTTTGACTGTAAGTATGACCTTGTGGAATGTCACGCCCATCACTGTCAGCTTTAGTTTCAAGGTGGTTGTGAATATGGATAAACTAATATTATTATGACTGTATTTAATGATATTCATCAGATGCACACATATACCATAAACAAATACTCTACACTTGTCGGCACAAATTGATAGCTTTACCACAAAATAGACATGTATGGCGCAGGCCTATATTTACTTACATGAAGCCCATTTATGGTGTCCACGCCGTGATATTGCTGGAATATTGCTAAAATCGGCGTGGAACAATACTCACTCACGCACTACGACCCAATGGGCTGGAAAACAGCGCTCCATGTTGAGTCGAGAAATGGAACGTGTGGCTGCACTACTCACCCTGGCGCCATTTGCCCATCGCCGTGGATCGTTCTCAATACTGACCTTTACTGATTGCCGTCAGACGTCTTTATTTACAAGCCGTTGTTGTCGACGGCGTACGACAACTACTCACTTACTCATTCATATATGAGTTGCGATGATTCCAAGTCAGCGTACGGCAAATTGGCCGTTTGGAATCTTCATCAATAGGGCTACACCAAAACGTACGATCACAGTCATAGGGTTCTCGGAATTCGTTGACGGTTAATGGTATGTAAGCTGTGGGGCAACAGGTAATATAAAAAGAATTCTTCTCAATCAAAAAGTGACAGCCATGTATTCTGTGGACGCTTCAGTGCCTTTTTTCGGGAGGATGTCACCCTCTTCAGGTGTTAAAAATTGGCTTGGTTAAACCTTATCCCTTATTTTGTGGGGCACCATACCTGTGGACTTATCTAACATAAAATTGACACACCGTGGTGGAACTGGAATAATGACCAAAGCTGCTTTAGTGAGTGAGTGAGTATTGTTTTATGCCACTTGTAGCAATATTCCAGCACAGTCACGGCGGGGGACACCAGAAATGGGCTCCACACATTGTACCCATGTGGGGAATCGAACTCGGGTCTTCGGTGTGACGAGCGAACGCTTTAACCACGAGGGAACCTACCAACCCAAAGTATCTTTAAGACCCAAATCACTCACTTATGTATTTTGTTAGATGTTGACCTCAAGCCAACCCAGATCTTCTCTCTACTGCATGGTGCTCATGTTGTTCACAAGGCTGTGATATGAAACAGCCCAGAACCTGATTGATGTGGTTTCGTTCCAGGGTACTTGGAACAGATACGCAGACCTCAGGATCACGTGATATTTGTCCACTGTCCTGAATACAACGCAATGTTTGAAGCAGGTTGGTGTTTACAATTTGAGCATAATAGATGTGCTTTGTCTGAGGGCTGGGGATGTCGGTGAACCTTGGGCTGGAAAAGCTAATGACTGAGGCTGAGACTAGGTCTTGGGGATGGTGGATACACCTGGGCTCAAGGGAGCTGGTGATTGAGGCTGAGACTAGGGCTGGGAATGGGGAGAGTACACCTAGGGCTGGAGGAAGTTGATGACTGGGGCTGAAACTAGGGCTGGGGATGGGGGAGAGTACACCTAGGATTGGAAAAGCTGATGACTGGGGCTGAGACTAGTGGGATGGAGGAGAGTACACCTAGGGTTGGAGAAGTTGATGACTGGGGCTGAGACTAGGGCTGGGGATGGGGAGAGTACACCTAGCGCTGGAGAAGTTGATGACTGGGGCTGAGACTAGGGCTGGGGATGGAGGAGAGTACACCTAGGGCTGGAGGAAGTTGATGACTGGGGCTGAGACTAGGGCTGGGGATGGAGGAGAGTACACCTAGGGCTGGAGGAAGTTGATGACTGGGGCTGAGACTAGGGCTGGGGATGGGGAGAGTACACCTAGCGCTGGAGAAGTTGATGACGGGCTGAGACTAGGGTTGGGGATGGGGGAGAGTACACCTAGGGCTGGAGGAAGTTGATGACTTGGGCTGAGACTAGGGCTGGGGATGGGGGAGAGTACACCTAGGGCTGGAGAAGTTGATGACTGGGGCTGAGACTAGGGCTGGGGATGGGGGAGAGTACACCAAGGGCTGGAGGAAGTTGATGACTGGGACTGAGACTAGGGCTGGGGATGGAGGAGAGTACACCTAGGGCTGGAGAGGCTGATGACTGGGGCTGAGACTAGTGGGATGGAGGAGAGTACACCTAGGGTTGGAGAAGTTGATGGGGGAGAGTATACTTAGAGCTGGAGAAGCTGATGACTGGGGCTGAGACTAGTGGGATGGAGGAGAGTACACCTAGGATTGGAGAAGTTGATGCCTGGGGCTGAGATTAGGGCTGGGGATGGGGGAGAGTACACCTAGGGCTGGAGGAAGTTGATGACTGGGACTGAGACTAGGGCTGGGGATGGGGGAGAGTACACCTAGGGCTGGAGGAAGTTGATGACTGGGGCTGAGACTAGGGCTGGGGATGGGAGAGAGTACACCTAGAGCTGCAGGAAGTTGATGACTGGGGCTGAGACTAGGGCTGGGAATGGGGGAGAGTACACCTAGGGCTGGAGAGGTTGATGACTGGGGCTGAGACTAGGGCTCGGAATGGGGAGAGTACACCTAGGGTTGGAGAAGTTGATGACTGGGGCTGAGACTAGGGCTGGGGATGGAGGAGAGTATTCCTAGGGCTGGAAAAGCTGATGACTCGGGCTATGGTTAGGTCTGGGAGGTATGGGAAGAACTAGGGCTAGAGGAGCTGTAAGATGGGCTGAGGCTTGGTCTGCGGGTGGATGGAGACGCCTAGAGCTGGAGGGAGCTGGTGACTGGGACGTGGGCCTTCTGTCGGGGCCTGTTAGGACAGGTGTTGTGGCGAGGCCAAAGCTTGTGTTAAAGGTGAAGTCATCACTCGTATCTTTTAACACTCCGTGGACATTCCGAGTTACAACTGGGCCTATCCTGGACGGATTGACCGGGTGACTTGACAAATAATCTTGTCAGTATACACGACGGCATGGAACGTTGCTTACCCCGTCACTCGCTACATTACCTGGCCCAAGCATAACCGTAGTCGTATGGCCGTAATGTTGCGGAGTGCAGCGATACACAACCAACACACGACACATATTTTCGTAAAACCTGCAAGAAATGGTCACAAATAGGCATGTGGTGTGTTGGTTTGGCATATCAAAACTGTTGGTTGAGTTGGAATTAACGGTCATTATGTGTGTGTGCGCGCGTGTGTGTGTGCATGCATGCGTAAGTACGTGCGTGCATGTTGGTATTACGGTTATTCTGTACGATGATGTGGTCTTTGGTTTGGGCGATACTGTGAACATCCTCTAGTCGTGTTTTGAAGCCCGCCATAAGTCCATATATTCCTGTTCAGTTTCCTTTGGAATGGGCGAAGCGACGGTGGAAGGGGACATGTCGAAGATGTTCGGGAAGGAGGCAAAACGAATCAAGGAGCTGGTCAACAATCTTGCGGAGAAGTTGAGAGACACTATGGTAGGACACGTATAAGAAAACGTACTGACTGATTATCACATAGAAGCCGCACTACGACGACATTTGTAGAGCAGCCATCAGGTGGTACCCTCAGATAAAGGAATTAACGCAGGTTAAGGGTGATGTCAAACCTAAACTAAGGTGTTAGAGTATGGTAGTTTTAGAGTCTCTCTCACACACACACACACACACACACACACACAGAGAGAGAGAGAGAGAGAGAGAGAGAGAGAGAAACACACACACAGAAACACACACACATTAAGCAGACACGCTGTGTTAGAGATGACAAATTGCTCACAGTGACGATAAGCCAAACTCTTCAGTGTATGATTACACAATGCCATTTAGAAGGTGGTCAAATGTAACATATCTACATCTTCAGTATAGCTGTATAAACATATGAAATTGAACGACGTTCCGAAATTTCATTGATGTTCCGTGTTTCCCTTGTCCAATGATGACTGTTTGAAACGAGAGTTATGTCCCTTTCAGCTCAGCGGGAAAGTGAAGTGTGTTCCCGGAAGTCCAGGAGAGGTTATCCTGAAGGTCGCGGAGGAGGAGCACGCGAGCTTCATCATTACAGGCAGAAGGGGCGTCGGAGTATTGCGACGCACCTTCCTCGGCAGCGTCAGCGACTACGTCGTACACCATAGCCCAATTCCCGTTCTTGTGTGCTGTTACAACCATGCCCACTAGCAACAGCCTTGCTTTAGACCAGCAGTACGTTTCGCGATTCTCTTAGCACAGGGGCTTGTAACACAAAAGCAAGCATCAAAGTATGTATTGTCACTGTTGAGATCTTAGCACAATACTACAAGATATTTTTATACGATTTCCAGATTCCAGTGGTGACAATTCAAACTTTAACCTTGACGCCAGTTTTCACGTTTTGCGTTTCCAGCCCCTGTCACACGGAGGTGGCCCGGTGGGGAAGTAACGCGAAATTTAATCCCCTCGTAAAGATTCTATTTACACGATGAAACGCAACATTCGGTATTATAGTATGATCTAACCACCAACAGGACTGAGTGAGTGAGTTTAGTTTTACGCCACACTCAGCAATATTCCAGCTATATGGCGGTGGTCTGTTAATAATCGAGTCTGGACCAGACTATCCAGTGATCATCAGCATGAGCATCGATCTACAAAATTGGGATACAATGACATGTGTCAACCAAGTCAACTAGCCTGAACACCCGATCCCGTTAGTCGCCTCTTACGAAAAGCATAGGTTACTGGAGATCAATTCTAAACCGGATCTTCACGGGTCATCAACAGCAGGCCAGTGAGGATTTGTGAGATCCCTACGTTTGGAGGGGCTCCACTGTTTATAAGTTGGAGTTCTACCATTTACCCACTATTATCCCGTGTGTTATACCTCGATTGGATGATGATAATGATGATGTTTTGTACAACGGCACCCTGGTCTCTTTCGATACAGTATGGACGATTGGAAGCCAAAAACGGCCGTGGGTGTATTTTAACTCATGAACGAGAAGCATGGTGTCCTGACAACAGTAATCTATGGTTAAGACGAAAATGTTCGTTGTATAGTTGTATTCGTCATAAGCGGATTGGTTATAATCGTAGTTCTCTGTATATTGTATGAGAAAGGTGACGAATGTGTCCATACAGGGAATTAATTTTAATGTTAGAATGGAGATATGAGTCATGACACCCTTGAGAAACGAAGATGGACAACTGTCTGGGTCATCAACATGTGCTTGAAGGAATTCTACATTGTTATCCTATTCTTGAATAAAAACTTCATTTTTTTTTAGTTTTGTTTTCCACTTTTTTGGTGATTCAAATGGGAACAATGATGTCCCTTCGAGTAACTGGACCATATTTACGTCGTTGTGTATCTTCTACTCAGTGTTCTCCCGAAAAATACCACCGTTGTCTTCGCATCCTAACTACAATCAGATTCCTTGACCTCTGACCCTTGCCTCACATGTCTATATATATAAGCTATACTGAGACTGCTCTCTCTCACTCTCTGTTTCTCTGTCGCTCGAGAACTGGTCACAAGTGAAGGTTTTGTGGCATCTTGTGGAACTTAAGATTTCAACTTGCGAGAAGGCACCGGAAACGACTTTGACGCCATGAGTGACCATCGGACCGTGGTCATTTCCATGGACGGAAGTGATTGTGCTGACTTTGCCTTTGACTGTAAGTATGACCTTGTGGAATGTCACGCCCATCACTGTCAGCTTTAGTTTCAAGGTGGTTGTGAATATGGATAAACTAATATTATTATGACTGTATTTAATGATATTCATCAGATGCACACATATACCATAAACAAATACTCTACACTTGTCGACACAAATTGATAGCTTCACCACAAAATAGACATGTATGGCGCAGGCCTATATTTACTTACATGAAGCCCATTTATGGTGTCCACGCCGTGATATTGCTGGAATATTGCTAAAATCGGCGTGGAACAATACTCACTCACGCACTACGACCCAATGGGCTGGAAAACAGCGTTCCATGTTGAGTCGAGAAATGGAACGTGTGGCTGCAGTACTCACCCTGGCGCCATTTGCCCATCGCCGTGGATCGTTCTCAATACTGACCTTTACTGATTGCCGTCAGACGTCTTTATTTACAAGCCGTTGTTGTCGACGGCGTACGACAACTACTCACTTACTCATTCATATATGAGTTGCGATGATCCAAAGTCAGCGTACTGCAAATTGGCCGTTTGGAATCTTCATCAGTAGGAGGGGCGGTGGGGTAGCCTAATGGTTAAAGCGTCCGCTCGACACGCCGAAGACCCGGGTTCGATTCCCCACATGGGTGCAATGTGTGAAGCCCATTTCTGGTTTCCCCCGCCGTGATATTGCTGGAATATTGCTAAAAGCGGCGTAAAACCATACTCACTCACTCACTCACTCATCAGTAGGGCTATACCAAAACGTACGATCACGGTCATAGGGTTCTCGGAATTCGTTGACGGTTAATGGTATGTAAGCTGTGGGGAAACAGGTAATATCAAAGAATTCTTCTTAATCAAAAAGTGACAGCCAGTTGTTGTGAACATCTCATGTATTCTGTGGACGCTTCAGTGCCTTTTTTGTGGCTTGGTTAAACCTTATCCCTTATTTTGTGGGGCACCATACCTGTGGACTTATCTAACATAAACACGACACACCGTGGTGGAACTGGAATAATGACCAAAGCTGCTTTAGTGAGTGAGTGAGTGAGTGAGTATTGTTTTATGCCACTTGTAGCAATATTCCAGCACAGTCACGGCGGGGGACACCAGAAATGGGCTCCACACATTGTACCCATGTGGGGAATCGAACCCAGGTCTTCGGTGTGACGAGCGAACGTTTTAACCACGAGGCAACCTACCAACCCAAAGTATCTTTAAGACCCAAATCACTCACTTATGTATTTTGTTAGATGTTGACCTCAAGCCAACCCAGATCTTCTCTCTACTGCATGGTGCTCATGTTGTTCACAAGGCTGTGATATGAAACAGCCCAGAACCTGATTGATGTGGTTTCATTCCAGGGTACTTGGAACAGATACGCAGACCGCATGATCACGTGATATTTGTCCACTGTCCTGAATACAACGCAATGTTTGAAGCAGGTCGGTATTTACAATTTGAGCATAATAGATGTGCTTTGTCTGAGGGCTGGGGATGTCGGTGAACCTTGGGCTGGAAAAGATAGTGACAGGCTGAGACTAGGGCTGGGGGTGCTGAATACACCTGGGCTCAAGGGACCTGTTGATTGAGGCTGAGACTAGGGCTGGGGATGGGGAGAGTACACCTAGTGTGGGAGAAGCTGATGACTGGGGCTGAGACTAGGGCTGGGGATGGGGAGAGTACACCTAGGGTTGGAGGAGGCTGATGACTGGGGCTGAGACTAGGGCTGGGGATGGGGAGAGTACACCTAGGGTTGGAGAGGCTGATGACTGGGGCTGAGACTAGGACTGGGGATGGGGAGAGTACACCTAGGGTTGGAGAAGCTGATGACTGGGGCTGAGACTAGGGCTGGGGATGGGGAGAGTACACCTAGGGTTGGAGAAGCTGATGACTGGGGCTGAGACTAGGGCTGGGGATGGGGAGAGTACACCTAGGGTTGGAGAGGCTGATGACTGGGGCTGAGACTAGGACTGGGGATGGGGAGAGTACACCTAGGGTTGGAGAAGCTGATGACTGGGGGCTGACTAGGGCTGGGGATGGGGAGAGTACACCTAGGGTTGGAGAAGCTGATGACTGGGGCTGAGACTAGGACTGGGGATGGGGAGAGTACACCTAGGGTTGGAGAAGCTGATGACTGGGGCTGAGACTAGGGCTGGGGATGGGGAGAGTACACCTAGGGTTGGAGAGGCTGATGACTGGGGCTGAGACTAGGGCTGGGGATGGGAGAGTACACCTAGGGTTGGAGAAGCTGATGACTGGGGCTGAGACTAGGGCTGGGGATGGGAAGAGTACACTTAGGATTGGAGAGGCTGATGACTGGGGCTCAGACTAGGGGGATGGGGGAGAGTACACCTAGAGCTGGAGGAAGTTGATGACTGGGGCTGAGACTAGGGCTGGGGATGGGGGAGAGTACACCTAGGGCTGGGAGGAAGCTGATGACTGGGGCTGAGACTAGGGCTGGGAGATGGGGAGAGCACCTAGGGGATTGGAGAAGCTGGGGATGACTGGGGCTGAGACTAGGGCTGGGGATGGGGAGAGTACACCTAGAGCTGGAGAAGCTGATGACTGGGGCTGAGACTAGGGCTGGGATGGAGGGGACACCTGGGGAAGAGACTACACCTAGAGGATGGAGGAGAGTACAGGGTTGGAGAAGCTGATGACTGGGGCTGAGACTAGGGCTGGGGATGGGGAGAGTACACCTAGAGCTGGAGGAGCTGATGACTGGGGCTGAGACTAGGGCTGGGGATGGGGAGAGTACACCTAGGGTTGGAGAAGCTGATGACTGGGGGCTGAGACTAGGGGCTGGGGGAGAGAGTGATGACACCTAGGGCTGGGGATGGAGCTGATGACTGGGGCTGAGACTAGGGGGGCTGGGGGCTGGGATGGAGGAGAGTACACCTAGGGTTGGAGGAAGTTGATGACTGGGGCTGAGACTAGGGCTGGGGATGGGGAGAGTACACCTAGGATGGAGGAGAAGCTGATGACTGGGGCTGGGACTAGGGCTGGGGATGGGGAGAGGGTACACCTAGGTGGGAGAGAAGCTGATGACTGGGGCTGAGACTAGGGCTGGGGATGGGGGAGAGGAGTACACCTAGAGCTGGAGGAAGCTGATGACTGGGGCTGAGACTAGGGCTGGGGATGGGAGAGAGTACACCTAGGGTTGGAGAAGCTGATGACTGGGGCTGAGACTAGGGGGATGGGGAGAGAGGAAGCACCTATGGCTGGGAGGAAGCTGAGGATGGGGGCTGGGGCTGGGGAGAGTACACCTAGGGATGGAGAAGCTGATGACTGGGGCTGAGACTAGGGCTGGGGATGGGGAGAGTACACCTAGAGCTGGAGGAAAGCTGATGACTGGGGCTGAGACTGGGGCTGGGAATGGGGAGAAGTACACCTAGGGGGGATGGGAGAAGCTGATGGCTGGGGACTGAGACTGGGGACTAGGGCTGGGGATGGAGTACACACCTAGGGTTGGAGGAAGCTGATGACTGGGGGCTGAGACTAGGGCTGGGGCTGGGGATTGGAGAGGGCTGGAGAAGATTGATGACTGGGGGCTGAGACTAGGGCTGGGGATGGGGAGAGTACACCTAGGGTTGGAGAAGCTGATGACTGGGGCTGGGAGACTAGGGGCTGGAGATGGGGAGAGAAGCACACCTAGGGGCTGGAGGAGAGTTGAAGCTGACTGGGGCTGAGACTAGGGCTGGGAATGGGGAGAGTACACCTAGGGTTGGAGAAGCTGATGACTGGGGGCTGAGACTAGGGGCTGGGGATGGAGGAGAGGGGTAGGGATGGAGAAGCTGATGACTGGGGCTGGGAGACACCTAGGGTTGGAGCTGGGATGACTGGAGCTCAGACTAGGGCTGGAGAAGCTGAGTGACCTAGGCTTGGAGACTAGGGCTGGGGATGGGGGAGAGTACACCTAGGGTTGGAAGCTGATGACTGGGGCTGAGACTAGGGCTGGGGATGGGGAGAGTACACCTGGGGGTTGGAGAAGCTGATGACTGGGGCTGAGACTAGGGCTGGGGGAGGAGGGCTGAGTACACCTAGGGTTGGAGGAGGAGCTGATGACTGGGGCTGAGACTAGGGCTGGGGATGGGGAGAGTACACCTAGGGATAGAAGCTGGAGGGGCTGAGACTGATGGGGGAGAAAGTACTGGGGCTGATGACTAGGGAGACTGGGGATGGAGGAGAGTACACCTAGAGACTGGAGGAAGCTGATGACTGGGGCTGAGACTAGGGGCTGGGGATGGGGGAGGAGGAGTACACCTAGGGTTGGAGAAGCTGATGGCTGGGGCTGGGCTGACTAGGGCTGGGGATGGAGGAGAGTACACCTAGGAGCTGGAGGAAGCTGATGACTGGGGCTGAGACTAGGGCTGGGGATGGGGAGAGTACACACCTAGAGGTGGGAGAAGCTGATGACTGGGGCTGAGACTAGGGCTGGGGATGGAGGAGAGTACACCTAGGCTTGAGAAGCTGATGACTGGGGCTGAGACTAGGGCTGGGGATGGAGGAGAGAGTACACCCAGAGCTGGAGGAAGCTGATGACTGGGGCTGAGACTAGGGCTGGGGATGGGGAGAGTACACCTAGGGTTGGATTGATGACTGGGGGCTGAACTAGGGGCTGATGACTGGGGCTGAGACTAGGGCTGGGGATGGGGAGAGTACACCTAGGGTTGGAGAAGCTGATGACTGGGGCTGAGACTAGGGCTGGGGCTGGGGAGAGTACACCTAGGGTTGGAGAAGCTGATGACTGGGGCTGAGACTAGGGCTGGGGATGGGGAGAGTACACCTAGAGCTGGAGAAGCTGATGACTGGGGGCTGAGAGACTAGGGGGGGAGACTGGGCTGGGCCAGGGAGAGTACACCTAGGGCTGGAGTACACCTAGGAGCTGGAGGAAGTTGATGACTGGGGCTGAGACTAGGGGGATGGGGGAGAGTACACCTAGAGCTGGAGAAGCTGATGACTGGGGCTGAGACTAGGGCTGGGGATGGAGGAGAGTACACCTAGAGCTTGAGGAAGTTGATGACTGGGGCTGAGACTAGGGGGATGGGGGAGAGTACACCTAGAGCTGGAGAAGCTGATGACTGGGGCTGAGACTAGGGCTGGGGATGGAGGAGAGTACACCTAGAGCTTGAGGAAGTTGATGACTCGGGGTATGGTTAGGTCTGGGAGGTATGAGTAGAACTAGGGCTAGAGGAGCTCTAAGATGGGCTGAGGCTTGGTCTGCGGGTGGATGGAGACGCCTAGAGCTGGAGGGAGCTGGTGACTGGGACGTGGGCCTTCTGTCGGGGCCTGTTAGGACAGGTGCTGTGGCGAGGCCAAAGCTTGTGTTAAAGGTGAAGTCATCACTCGTATCTTTTAACACTCCGTGGACATTCCGAGTTACAACTGGGGCTATGCTGGACGGATTGACCGGGTGACTTGACAAATAATCTTGTCAGTATACACGACGGCATGGGACGTTGCTTACCCCGTCACTCGCTGCATTACCTGGCCCAAGCAGAACCGTAGTCGTAATGTTGCGGAGTGCGGCGGTACACAACCAACACACGACACATATTTTCGTAAAACCTGCAAGAAATGGTCACAAATAGGCATGTGGTGTGTTAGTTTGGCATATCAAAACTGTTGGTTGAGTTGGAATTAACGGTCATTATGTGTGTGTGCGCGCGTGTGTGTGTGCATGCGTGCGTGTGTACGTGCGTGCATGTTGGTATTACGGTTATTCTGTACGATGATGTGGTCTTTGGTTTGGGCGATACTGTGAACATCCTCTAGTCGTGTTTTGAAGCCCGCCATAAGTCCATATATTCCTGTTCAGTTTCCTTTGGAATGGGCGAAGCGACGGTGGAAGGGGACATGACGAAGATGTTCGGGAAGGAGGCAAAACGAATCAAGGAGCTGGTCAACAATCTTGCGGAGAAGTTGAGAGACACTATGGTAGGACACGTATAAGAAAACGTACTGACTGATTATCACATAGAAGCCGCACTACGACGACATTTGTAGAGCAGCCCTCAGGTGGTACCCTCAGATAAAGGAATTAACGCAGGTTAAGGGTGATGTCAAACCTAAACTAAAGTGTTAGAGTATGGTAGTTTTAGAGTCTCTCTCTCACACATACACACACACACACACACACACACACAGAAAGAACACACACAGAGAGAGAGAGAGAGAGAGAGAGAGAGAGAGAGAGAGAGAGAGAGAGAGAGAGAAAGAAACACACACACACAGAAACACACACACACATTAAGCAGACACGCTGTGTTAGAGAAGACACATTGCTCAGTGCGACGATAAGCCAAACTCAATCTGATTAACTCTTCAGTATATGATTACACAATGCCATTTAGAAGGTGGTCAAATGTAACATATCTACATCTTCAGTATAGCTGTATAAACATATGAAATTGAACGACGTTCCGAGGTTTCATTGATGTTCCGTGTTTCCCTTGTCCAATGATGACTGTTTGAAACGAGAGTTATGTCCTTTTCAGCTCAGCGGGAAAGTGAAGTGTGTTCCCGGAAGTCCAGGAGAGGTTATCCTGAAGGTCGCGGAGGAGGAGCACGCGAGCTTCATCATTACAGGCAGAAGGGGCGTCGGGGTATTGCGACGCACCTTCCTCGGCAGCGTCAGCGACTACGTCGTACACCATAGCCCAATTCCCGTTCTCGTGTGTTGTTGCAAGCATGCCCACTAGCAACAGCAGTACGTTTTGTGATTCTTTGATGAAAGGGGCTTGTAACGCAAAAACAAGCGTCAATATATATAATGTCGCTGCCCGATGTTTAAACTATGTTACAAGATACGTATATCATTGCATCATTTTATATCGTACCAAGACCCAACAGGCCAATACACTGATGCTTGTTTCCAGCCCCTGTGATATAGAGGTGGCCTGATGGGGAAGTAACGAAATTTGCGGCTTTGCAGAATCAGAGTTGTATCGTATATTTTCTGGTAAACCAAACAAATCCCTCAAACTACCTAAAGATTATATTTACACGATGAAACGCACGTTCGGTATTATGGCATGGTCTGACTAGCAGCAGGAGGCAACTGAAGATTATGAAATCCGCAATTGGAATTTCTTACCTCGCTTGTTATAAGAGGCTTCACAATTTATAAGGGACCGTTCATAATTTATGGCTTAAGGGGGTTGGGGGTTGTTGTTGTTGTTTTGTGTGTGTGTGTGTGTGTGTGTGTTGGAATTGATGATGATGATTTTAAGGGGTCACCCATTTTGTTCGGGTGGGGGTGGGGGTGGGGTGGATTTGGGGGTTGGTCAGCAAATTTTTTTTTAACGGTCCCTAAGTTGGGGTTTTGACATTTACCCTCTATCTTCCAGTGTGTTATACCTCGAGTGTGTGATGATGGTACTCCCCCTGGGCCTTCCGATACAGTATGGGGCATTGGGAGGCTAAAGTGACCGTGGGTGTATGCTAACTCCTAAAAAGAAAAGCATGGTATCCTGACAACAGTAATCTACGGTTATGGCGAACCCAAAGGGACATGTACACTTGAATTCGTTACAAGCGTGTTTGTTATAAACGTGGTGTACTGTATATTGTATGAGAAAGGTGGCGAATTAGTCCACACAGGGAACATATCATATTACAATGGATATATAACACTCTTAAGAAACGACAATGGACAATTATCTGGGTCATAAACATACACTTGAAGGAATTCTACATTGTTATCCTGATAGTTTTCTTGAATAAACATTTCATATTTTAGGTTTTGTTTTTCACTGTAAGGGTGAACCAAATGTAACAACGAAGGATTACGTCACGCCGAAGACCCGGGTTCGATTTCCCACATGGGTATAATGTTTGAAGCCTATTTCTGATGTCCTCCGCCTTGATATTGCTGGGATATTGCTAAAAGCGGCGTAAAACCATGCTCACTCACTCACTCACTCACTTTACATTGCACTATCACGCGATCAAAAGTTATTGGAATAACTTGCAAGAGAGACTCTGTCTGGTTTGATTAAACCATAGCAATATGCAATGATTTTATTCAACTTCAGTACTGATAGCCTTCTGGATATAAGTATTTAAAAGGCTAGTCTCAGAAAGGGTTGGTCTGAGAATGTTTACCAAATAGGTGTGTAAACAACTTCATATATCGGACAAGGAAATTGTGACCTTGAACTTTGATTATTCTTATCTTTACGTGTGATCTGATCTCACTAGCTGCACGGCACGCGATGAAGTCATCATATCTTTGATTTAATCTATGCGTGGTCGTGTTTCATTAATATTCCTTAATGGTCAGTAACTGAACTGTCGTTGATTTTATCTTTTAATTAGTTTAGGTGAATAGCAGTAGGGTGGCATAGCGGTTTAAACGTTCACTCGTCACGCCCAATGTCCATGAAGCAACGTAAAACCCAACTCACTCATTCACTCACTCACTCGGTTTATCTCAATGACAACAGTGGTGTTGGTGAGTTTGTACAAGTATCCCTTGAATACTGTTGTTTATGGGATTTTACTACGAATTCAGTGACATAGATTACTCCGAACCTCGTTAATACAGAAAACCCACTTTACGGACGACTTGGAGGACCATCTGCATTTACTTCTATGCAAAGACAAGTTCGAGAGTAAACCTAAGCCTTGCATCTTTACTTCACGTTTGTTTATTGTTTAACGTCACACCCAGTAAAATTCCAGCTATATGGCGGCGGTCTGTTGATAATCGAGTCTGGACCACACAATCCAGTGATCAACAGCATCGTGATCTTGTCAAAACTTACATCAAATTTATAAACCTCACCCAGTATTGTCAGATTATAGGCTGAGAATAGAGAAACTGGATCAAAACAGTACATTTAGCAGTTCACTCGCAGGTACAGACCGCCTTCTAGAAACTGTCTCACCCCAGAAACTTCTCCTAAGATTGACGATGGTCATAACATGGGGTCAATAATTCTAAATTTCAGTTGTTGTGTCTCCCACTGATCCAGTTTGACGAAGACAGCATTGAAATTGAAAAGTAATAATTTTGTTTATTTGGGTTTTTCGATATAGTTGATATTTGCAGATTGAGATTTCAGACTCCGATTGTGTATTTTGGAACACATATTACAAATAGGGCGAGTTTTCTCATTAAGTAATTCTGTTTTGCAAATGTTGATGGGTTGTGTGATAGTCTGTAGATATGAGGAACCTAATCCTGAATTCAAACTGGTACCATCAACTGGTCTGGTCGTAATAGATGACAATGGATCGCTTGGTCAGTCTCGATGCCTGGTCGATTGTGAACTGACATTATAAACACGCTGTGGTCGGGTCACGACCACGTTGTTAACAGACTACAGTCACATATCAAGGATATTTCTGAGACAGCATCGACAACACCATAAATCTAGAAACACCGTGAGAGAGGAATGTCTAATTATTCACGGAAAGAACAGAGAAGAGCGGTGTTGAGACCACATTATTCCCGAGACCTCTAAGGATTCGCTTGAATATTTTCAGAACAGTTCCCCGCGGTATGCTGCTCTGGCGCTTTACTGACCCCGATAAGGGCTGGGCAATGGCCAGGTTACACAACACCAAATGAACTGAAATTAACCAATCAAACAAAATGGATTTTCTTTTTCCCGGTCGCCAACACTGATCTCACAACAAATGAAAACCCACATAAAACAAAGATATATGACCTGCAGAATATACGCTTTTTGGCTTCTGTTAACAAGGTTATCATTAGCTAATATTTCCGCAAGCTGACATCCTTGAAAAAACTGACAAAACCCTGTTTTCAGCGACTGTTTACTCACTGTTGTGGCGTGCTCCATGTGCATCACTCGGAAGCGATCGTACGGATAATAGCATTCGGAATCGCTCGAGTACAAAACATTTTCGAGATAAAAGTTCAAAAAGGTATGTGCGAATGTCAACTTTCGCGATTTGGTAAGCTGTGTTCTGATTGGTCAATTGAAAAGGTTACCTGACGCGACCTTCTACTGGGGTTTGTTAGACTCAGTATAGCAGTGTAACGAATAATACTGAGTCTAAGTATACTTAGACTGCTCGCTCAGGGAGCATGAGGTTATGCAATGTTGCCGTTATATAATGGTGGTCAGTGTACATTCAAGTAAGAGGAGACTAAATGGATCGGATGGTCGGTTACGTGGTGGTCATGGTACATGAGTGTGTTCGGTACCGGACGCGCATGGGGTGCCGCAAACCTGATCTGCCTCTCAAGCTCACCTTCAACTGATGCTGATGTCGCTAAACGAATCACAATTATACTGAGTTGACATGAATATTGATAAGACGTCTTTTTAAAAAGTGTTTCATTTGAGCCACGACTTCACACCTCGACGTTGGAGGTCATTCCAAATTTTGAAGCACTAGTCCCCGAGTGTCGTAGACTTAAAGAGTAAAAATGTTTGCCATAATGATTTATTTATATCAATGAATCAACAAGTTGATCTGCTTCATTCTGCGTCCTGTTCCACTGCATCATATGTAGTTGAATTCGCCGTGCTCTTCCCGCAAAGCTGGATCTGAAAGGCGGCAATATACACCAGTTTACTCATCAGTTTCTCTGTTCAGGAAATAGATCGAATCATTAATTGTGTATCGGATGGCCCTGTGTCCCAGGATCTGCTGATCATAATCTCGTCTTAATTATGATCCTTATGATCCCTGATCCACTACTGTTCCAATCGCGGGGGTTTCACCAAATTTGGAAATGACAAACATTGAAGCCCCACAGTGACTGACAAAGCGTCATATAAGCGACTTGAATGCCCCGCTTTAAACCTCAACTTACTCCTTCACTCAAATCAGATCAAATTCAAATTTCTATTACCTGCATCTATGGTCAGGAAGCTATCGATGCTTCTGGAGAACTCGTCCACACTCACGTCCGAGTCTCCTGAAATTGTTGAAGTGATTGTTAAAATGCATCCATGACGTGATACGGATTTTCTTAATTATTGACCACAAGATGTTGTTTAGTAGACATTTAATTAAATCTTAAAAAGTCTTGAAAATAAAATGAATTGAAAAGCAAGTAGTTTGTTTTACCATTTTCGTCAGCAAACGAAAGTAGATCCTCGGCTGCCTGTCTCTCCAACAGTTCCTCAGCTTCTGATTGGTCAATGTTGCCATCGTTGTTCTGATCAAGATCATCGATACTACGCTTGCCTAGGCTTGCTGTAATCAAAGAATGTCACCTGTCAACGGAATGCTGACCCACCGCCTAATGTCACATTGAAATCAACTGACAAATAGTTACTCTTAGTACTCGTCGATTATACTTGATTATCATTCCTTGGTCGAACGATGGTAACACGGTAGTTGCGCCCCTTTGTCGTTTCAGGATCCGCCTTTCAAAAGGTAATTGACAGGCTTCCATCACTGAATGGTTGTTCAAACGCCACACGTGTCAATACATCAGGGGAATAACCATCCCGACACCGTCACGTTTACTGCTACCGAACTGCTGAGAGAGTGAGTGAGTGAGTTGGGTTTTACGCCGCTTTTAGCAATATTCCAGCAATATCACGGCGGGTGACACCAGAAATGGGATTCACGCATTGTACCCATGTGGGGAATCGAACCCGGGCCTTCGGCGTGACGAGCAAACGCTTTAACCACTCGGCTACCCCACTGCCCCCTGAACTACTTTACATTGTTTAATGTAGATATCATTATGCGTGTGCTATTCACAAACCCCAGGGGCTGTATATCAGATTTTTTTCAATGTCATTTGATTGTTTAGAGTAATTAGCCCCATTCACTCTGTTGTAGAAATATACTTAGTCTACTATTTTATTTGGCTATTCTGAGAGACGGTGGGGTAGCCTAGTGGTTAAATAGCTCGTTCGCCCCACCAACGACTTGGGTTTGATCCCCACAATGGTACAACGTGTGAAGCCTATTTCTGGTGTCCGCCGCTTTGATATTGCTGGAATATTGCTAAGCACGGCGAAAACCCCAGCTCTCTCACACACTTCGGTATTCTGAGTGTCAAGATGGGGGGAAATCTGTGGATGTTGTGGATGGACCCGCACCCTATTCGTGTGCCGGTTGGGCATGAAACTGACACAATCTAAACACATTGATACTCGACATATACCAGCAAATGTGTTATATTATCAAGCAAGTAAAGCTGTTACTATTTGTGCAGCATTGCTAAATATTCCTAAGTACGTTGTAAATTTATTATTGACTTTCAGCAGTGCTGCAGAGGCGAAGGAAAACTTTCTATGTTTGTTGCTATGTGAAAAACCCTGCCCTCAAAATATAATATAATAATAATACTTTATTCGCCTGAAAGGGAATTTGTTGTACATCAGCAAAATATAGAAAAAGATAACGTGAAAACGAAACAAATTAGGAGTTTCGTCAAAAAGGATCCTTGATATGTTATCTTTTCGTTAAGCCTCTTTATTCTATCTGTAAGAATTATCGTATGCACAAGTTCAAAAGGGCGTGAGACCAAACGCATCGAATGTATGCACAACGTATTTTTGGGAATGAACACGGAACACGTTCAGCGTACTGTAGTCTTATCGTTCTTCATACTTGTTACACTTTCCATTACAACAAAATGTATCTAGAAGTCTGTCATAATCCGAGCATTCATTTCTGCACTCACCAATTACTGCGTCGATTGTGGCTTTATGATCCAGGTAAAATCTGTAAATGCCCTTAACGCGATCAATAAGTCGACGACCCCTGAATCTTAGCCACCTTCTCCCCCTCCTTCTCCAGGCGTCGGAATCCGGCAACAGAACCAGGGCCACAAGCAGGAGGACAAGGAACAGACGCATCCTGATCAGCTGATATTATCTGCTTGACATAAAGATCATTTTGCATATTACAAGTACAATCACCAGTGGAAGAAACTACTGACAGTCATTTTTCATTTTCCCCTGAAAAAAAGCCAAAACATTATATAATCTTTATATGTAAACCCGTTAGAAATTGTCGCTGTGATGTTCTTTGGAGGTTTTCAAGGTCAGTTCTTCCCCTCTTTTGATTCCAAACCCGGCATGTTCTTCCCCTCTTTTGATTCAAACCAAGGCCGGTTTCATCCCACTTGTGATTCCAACCAAGGACACTTCTCCACTCCTTTGATTCCAACCTCGGTCAGTTCTTTCCTCTTTCGATTCCAACTAAGACCGGTCCTTCCCCTAGTTTGATTCCAACCAAGAACGGTTCTGTCGTTCTTTCGATTCCAACCTCGGCCAGTTCTCCCCCTTTTGATTCCAACCAAGAATGTTTTATGACAATAGAATATGACTGAGAAGTCATAAGCTTTTTGTCTGTAGTATTCAGGATGTTCTTGTACGTTTAATGGTAACATTGGAAAAGGAAATGTGATGTAACTCATATGGAGGACTGGTACCGTAAATATATCCGATGTATGATATATACGATATATACAATTTAAAAATGTATAGCATCTTTTGACGAAGCAATACTACGGCTAACTAGTTCATGAATGGGATTCTAAAAGAATTAAATGCAAATCAACATCTGTTGTATACAGAGTCTCCTTTTAGTGTAGAAATTACCAAATATCTATTGTCCAAATAAATGTACAAAAGATGAATCTGGTGATATAAGGGGTTTCCTATAAAACCATGTCAATGCATTGAAACATGATTTAACACTTATACCAATGAGGTGGTGAAAACCAGTGAAAAGACGTGGTACGGGCACGTCACACAATCATCTGGTCTGGCCAAGACTATCCTACAAGGAACAGTACAAGGAGGGAGACGAAGAGGCAGACAGATGAAAACGATGGGAAGACAACACAAGGAGTGGACTGGCCTTGACTGGAACATCATACAGCGGCAAGCTGACAACCGCGAGGAGTGGTGGAAGCTGGTAATAACATTTACAGTGGTGCCCTAACGGTCAGCCAGACTACGGGATAGGTGAAGGTGAAGGTGATGGTAAAGAATATTTATAGCAGAATACTAGACAATTGCAATATTTCGCTTGGTGAAAGAAAAAGTCATCAGAAACATGTACCCCAAGTTTTATTTCAAAATTATGGTTTGTTATGTTTTAATCGCGAAAACAGTTTCTGTTATCTGAGCTTCGGCCATTATGCATATTCCGCTGGAACTCACGTGACCTTTCCGCTCGTGACGTACGCGTCATATGTGACTAGAGTCCGCCATATTGCCAAAGACCAAGCGCTACAGTAACTCAAATCGTGTTGTTTCTGTCGTTTATGTAAATGGTACGATGGTGTCAAGTTGCCTGGGGATGCACGGCATCATCGAACAATGGAAAGAGACACCATTTCTTCCGTTTTCCCAAAAAAAAGAAGTTTTAGGCAGGAGACATGCTCCGATCATTTCCAGTCGCGTGCATATGAAAGAGACATGCACACCGGGGTATGAAAATCCCAAAGCTAGGCTGAAGAAGGAAGCAGTACCAACGAGCTTCATTTATATTCCATCATTCAATGTTACAACTTACTGTCAGTCGTATTTTTGACATAAATCAAATAAAGTCCGATTGCCAGTCGAACTGCCCAACTACCCAGTGTGTGTGTGTGTGTGTGTGTGTGTGTGTGGTCAAAATGCCCCAATTTATTTAAAATGATTATTATAAATATATGTCATAAATGCATAGTTCTTGTCAACTTTGATATTATGTTCTTTATGTAAAAGCATATAGTTATGAGTTTACTAATGGAACATTTATCAGAAATATTACTTCCTAACAACTTTTATATGAAGAACATAATGTGAAAGTTGACAAAAACTATGCATTTATGACTTATATTTAATCATTTTAAATAAATGTGACCGAATAAGAGTCAATGACCAAGTTTGCTGGGGCAGTTCCACTGGTACCTATGAGATATATATCATCAAAATCAGTAAGAGATTTCACATGAGCTTGAAAATCTTTCACTATAACGTTCGTTTTGGTTTGGAGCCTTAAATGCTGCAGTCAACCCGAAAACTTGCTGAATACAACGGCAAATCATGAAGTGCTACTTACATTCATTGTTTTCCATTTTGTCCAATTACGCACGTCGTCATCAGACTTTCTATTTGTCAGTAGTGTGTGCCGTAAAAGTTGTTCTGTATACTCATTGGCTGACAAGATGTCATTCTAAGGTTATGACCGAGTACCATAACTATTTCCATAAGCAAAAACTAGGGAAACATACATTGTCCTGACTTGTATTATATAATTCACCAGTTTTCGGGAAATAACTTATCTGCGTCGCGAATACTATCTCTGCTCGACCAGGCTGGGATCTTGTATGGAGACTTGATACGTTATTAATGAAAACTAAGATCCTAATTTTGTTTTCAACAAAATGATTCCAGTAAAATTTTTGTAGCAGAAAATTTCTATTTTCCCTCGTCTGAAGCATAATTATTTTTTATAAATCCCAGACACCCTGCAGCCGCCCATTTGACACAAAAGGAACTGCAATCACATTTCAATCAAAATATTTTCTTAGGGACTGGTTAATCATTTATAGGGATGGGGTTGCTGGTTGGACTATATCACATTTTGCTGACAACTAATATTCAGGATAAATTATGTGGTCTATTTCAAAAATTATTTTGACATCAAGCGGTGCCTCCGTTGCACTTGATTCGTCTTCTTCATCTTCACTCTTGCAAGATGTAAAATCGGATCGTATAGATAATAATAATAATAATAATATATAGAGATTTATATAGCGCCAATATCCAGATGAGTCCTGCTCAAAGGCGCTTTCGTATGAGTCTGACAAGGAAAGAGTCACTCGGAACTGTAACATGATTTGAAAAAGAATGTTTTCAACATTCTCTTAAATGCACAGATTTTCTCTGCACTTTTAATGCCCAATGGGATATTGTTCCAAAGCATAGGACCTGCTTTTGAGAAACACCTGTCTCCAAATGTCTTTGTCCTCGTACGTGGCACAACTAGTAACTGGGCACTACTAGAACGTAGGGAACGGTAGGGTTGATGGCACTGGATCAGTTCATTGATGTATGATGGGCCAATACCGTGAAAAGCTTTGTATACAAGCACAAGAATCTTAAATTCTATCCGTTTGACTATTGGGAGCCAATGCAGATGCATCAAAACTGGAGTTATGTGCTCATATTTGCCGGTTCGAGAGATAACTCTAGCAGCTAAATTTTGTACCTGCTGTAACTTTGCAATTCGTTGTTTTGGTAGCCCAACCAAGAGAGCATTGCAATAATCCAGACGGGATAACACGTATGCCTGGATGAGTGATGCAGCCACACGTGTGTTTTTATATACTTCCTTATTAGAGCAATGTTTCTGATATGGAAGTATGCCTGTTTGCAGATTTGGCTGATATGGTCTTCAAGTGAAAAACAGAGTCCTGAATTACTCCCAGATTACGAGCCTTTTTACTTGGTTCTATGATACTGTCACCAATTTTGAAAGCCGGCAGTGAGAGATGTCTTAAATTGGACTTTTGACTGAAGATGAGGAGCTCTGTCTTGTCATCATTAAGCTTCAAAAAGTTGATAGCCATCCATTCACGGATATCAGAAACACATTTAGATATGACAGCAAAGGAGAATTCATCTGATGGTTTACTTTGTGGTCTAAAAGATATGTACAATTGGGTGTCATCTGCATACAGATGGAATTGCAGATTATGTTTTCGAATGACATCCCCAAGTGGTGAAGTGTACATTGTGAACAGGATCGGACCAAGGACTGATCCCTGTGGAACTCCGAAGAGCAGTTCTTCTTTCTTTGATGTTGTGCCATCAATGTGAACGGATTGGTGCCGTCCAGAGATATAGGACTCAATCCAAGATATAGCTTTGTCGGTGATACCAAGTCTCTTTTCCAATACGGTCTAACATCCATTTCAGAAATGACATCAGGAACATCTTTTATTACTTCAGAAGCCATGGACACTGTTAGGTTGTGAGGTAAAATCAAAGAGGAAGCCATCAGCAACAGGCACTTATGACGTCTTGTCACGTGATACCCCCTCTGCTCATTAACTGTGGGTGTTTTACGTAATAGGCGGAAATACGAGTACGTTTTTTGTGTGTTAATTGCGATTTTATAAAAACAATTTTCAATTTTAATCACGGAAGGGGACTTTTAGAATGAGTGCTATGACGTTACCTGGGAGTGTTTTAACGCTATGAAGTACTGAGATTAAATGTCAATTAAATGTCAATCATTACATTTCATGTAAAGACAATAATAAATAAATAAATAAAAAAAGATATCAACACGTTTGCAATTCTCGTCTTACATTACATAGTTTTACAATCAATCGGATTTGGGTTAACAATCCGATCAATTTACATATTTCAGATATTTCTAACAAAACAATATCACAAAAAGGTTACTCACCCAAAGCAGACAAATGGAGAAGTATCTGCAGATTGGGAGTACATATAGGTTATATTTATACAGATTTACACGAGAAACTTGTGAAGAAACAGTACAAACACCTCAAAACAACGATGGTATCTCAGGTACAGTAGAGCATCATGTGATTGGTGGATTCGTTGGGTATCTCTATGATCACTAAACAGCTGGGAGAGGGATGCCAGAACCTGAGTTTGATGAATCGCCCTTGGCCATATGCAGGTGTAGTAACGGACTGCAGGGTAACTGTTTATTATATTTGGCAGCACGTTCACCACTAGATTACTAGATACAAACTTTCCCATGTGATGTTGTGATGATACAGCGCTCTGTTTTACGCAGACAACGGCAACAGCTGAATTTTATTGTAATAATAATACTATAAAATCTATGATTGATTTTGTTGATGGCGATGCTCTTCTGGGCGTTACAGCGATGGGGGAT